CTCCTCGTCACATCTTCATCCTGCTCACACTTCTCCGCCTCCTCCTCCTCCTCCTCCTTACATTCCTCCGCCTCCTCCTCCTCCTCCTCCTCCTCCTCCTTCTCCGCCTCATCATCAGCATCAGCATCAGCATCAGCATCAGCATCAGCATCAGCATCAGCATCAGCTTCAGCATCATCATCATCATCATCGGCATCATCATCATCATCATCATCATCATCATCATCAGCATCATCATCATCATCATCATCATCATCAGCATCATCATCATCATCATCATCACCATCATCATCATCATCATGAGCAGCAGCAGCAGCATCACCATCATAACCAGCATCATCATCGTCATCAGCATCATCATCAGCATCATCATCATCATCATCATCAGCATCATCGTCATCAACATCATCAGCGTCATCATCATCAGCATCATCATCATCATCATCACCGTCATCGTCAACGTCATCATCATCATACTCAGCATCATCATCATCATCATCATCATCATCATCATCATCATCATCATCATCATCATCATCATCGCCATCATCAACATCAGCATCATCGCCATCATCATCATCAGCATCACCATCATCATCATCATCATCATCATCATCATCATCATTTAGCATCAGCATCAGCATCAGCATCAGCATCATCATCATCATCATCATCATCATCATCAATAATAATCATCATCATCAGCAGCAGCATCGTCATCATCATCGTCATCATCATCATCATCATCATCATCACCATCATCATCATCATCATCATCATCATCATCATCATCATCATCATCATCATCATCATCAACCACATCACGTTCCTCATTTTCCTCCTCTTCCTCCTCGCACTCCTTCCACTCGTCCCCCTCTCCTCCGCCTCCTCCCAGACGTGGGCCAGGACTCAGGTGGTGCATGCCCCCTGGTGCCTTCCCGCCCCGCGTGGAGCCAGGCCAGAGGACTTCATGTGCCTCAAGTGCTTCACTTGTGTACCTATTCACGATGGCCCAAATTTGGCCCCACAGGATGAGTTCTCGACGATGCTCAGCCGTTCTGCGATGAATGAGTCTGATATTTCATGGCCCTGCCATTCGTGTCACGTGCTGCAGTACGCGGATCTTCTCGGCGACCAGCGGCTCACGCGCCTCCAGTGCAACGTCGAGCTGAACGGCCTCGAGAATGACTCCCAAGATGTCTTCTGCTGCGTGGCCTGCGGATTGGTCTGTTACTGGGCCTGCGTGCCAAGATGTTGGCGGGATTGGGCGTTAACTTCGAGACGATGGCATGCTGCGTGGCTCTGCTGTCCGCTGTGGTTCCGATCGGAAGAAGCAGGTAAAATTATTGAGTAGGAAGGCGGAACAAGTAGGTTGGGTTATGTCCCTCCCAGAGAAGAACAAAGATGTCTCCAAGTCCGCCCAAGAAACCTCCAAGACGGCCCCAGAGGCCCCCAAGAGGCCTCCAACACGGCCCAAGAAGCCTCCAAGAGGTCCTCCAGAAGGGCCCGCAGTGGCCAAAACCAGCTATGTTCATAAGGTTGCTGAAGGACTCTGGTATTTGTTCGGCTTTCTGACGGCCCCCAAGGTCGGCCCAAGGTTGGCCCCGAAGGCTTCCAAGATGGCCCCAAGACGGCCCAAGAGGCCCCCAAGACGGCCCCAAGACGGCCCAAGAGGCAGACGCCCAAGATGGCCTTCAAGACGGCCCTGAAGTGCCAAAAGGTGGCCTCAAGCCGGCTCAGAGAGGCATCCGGCGTCAGACGGGCCGTGAACGCCCGACGACGGCCTAAGCTGCCCCGAACATGCCCCCAAAGGCACCCAAGAAGAGGCCCAAGGAAGCCCCCCCAAGAAGCCTCCAAGAGGCCCCTATGAAACTCCCAGGAAGCCCCAAGAGTGCCCCAAGAGGCTTCCAAGAAGCGTCCTCATCCTCCTTCTGCCCCTGCTCTTCCTCCTCCTCCTCCTCCTCCTCCTCCTCCTGCCCCTCCTCTTGCTCCTCCTCCTCCTCCTCCTCCTCCTCCTCCTCCTCCTCCTCCTCCTCCTCCTCCTCCTCCTCCTCCTCTTACTCCGTTTTCCCTCTTCTCCGCATTCTCCTCTTCCTCGCGTGTTCCCCGAAAGGAACTGGGGGAACACATGGTCCGATAGCTCTAGCCCAACTTTCGGCCACATATGCGCTTCCAAGAAGGCAGGCGGCGGCGGTGATTCGCCGTAGGCATCGTCGATAACAAGGCCAGGGCGAGGAACATGTGCAGCCAACGCATGGAGAAGAGAGGGAATGGAAGGACGAAACGACCGACGAGCGATGTCGACACCCCAGACACACCCGACCCCGTCCTGCGCCTCCTGTTTTCCCCCCTCCCCTGTGTCAAGACGAAGCAAGGTGAAGACAAGGTAGGATCAACATACATAGGGAATCTCTGAGACCTGACGGGGACGTGTCGGGCGCCGCTGCCGCTTCAGAGCGCCCCAGGACGCCCTGAGAGTGTTCTGGAACGCCCTGGACAGAGACAGCAAAAACTGCATACACGTAAACTGTCGGAGGTCTGCGCGGATGTCTCGGACCGGCGATGCACCTCCATGGTGCAGGGGCGGCGCGGGAGGCGACGTCACCAGGGGGGCCAGCACCGAGCCAGGAAATCAGCGCGGACCTCTGAAATGTCATCTTCATGCAGCGACGGGAACGAGATGTCTTCATCCCATGCTTGCTTCCCGTGTAGCGGACCCATACTTGGATCACCGCGGGGGTTGCTGGGGGAATAGAAGGGATATACGTGGATGCAAAGGAAGCTTAAACCTGGCCGGAGCTAGCTTACAACTGGTGCGCTAAAAAACTTGCGGGGGATAACGATCCGGGCTAAGTGGGCTCCGCGCACTTAGCGGAGTTGTCAGGACACTTGTAGCCCACTCGCATGCTAGGTCAGCCCCGAAACAACCCACCTTAGCATCCACTTAGAGAACCCCTACCCCCTTAGCAAACCCCTCGCCGATCCAGGCACTCGGGTGTTGCTAAGTGCCCCTGGCCCAAGGTGCCCCCAGCTTTTCGCTCCACTTTGGACTTGGAAATCCTGGGGGCACATCTGGGCCAGGGGCACTCCTAACAACACCTCGCAAATACCCCCTCGGCGCGCCTGAGTCCGCTGGACCGCTGACGGACTTCATCGCCCGCTCCCGGGCCTGCAGGCCTTTGCCGCACGTCGCGGAGCATGGGCCCCAGAGCCCCCACTCGTCCCACGCGCACCTCGGCTCGGCAGGAGCAGCGCGGGAAAGCTTGGGTTGCGCACAGGCCAGCCCCCAAATCAGCCCCGGCTGGCCTCAATAAGCCCCGCGGACAGCCCCAGCTGGCCTTATCTGGCCCCCCAGTAGTCTGCGGCGGTCTCAACACCCTGGGGCGCTCCGCGCCCCAGGGTTGAGGCGTTGAGACCGCCCTGGACGACTTGGGGGCCCGGCGAGGAAAGCTGGGACTCCCTGGGGGGTCTGCTAAGGCCAGCCGGGCCTCCCTGGGGGGGCTGTCTGTGCGCAGCCCCGAGAAGCCTCACCAGAGTGACACGGCAGAGTCTCTGACGAACCTTGGCCTTCTGCGCGAAGTCCCACTGGTGACAGGCGAAGATGAGCCGTGCCCCACCCTCGCTCGAGACACCCCTCCGGTCCCCAGCCCAGGGAGGCATCGTGGACCTCCTTGATAGAGGTGCTCCCCCCCATGGTGGCGGTGACATTGCCTCTCCTTCCTCCAGCGTTCCTCCTCCACCTCCTCCCCTGACATCTGCCGTTGTGCCTTGGTTGTCCCGACCGCTGCCCCGGGGGTAAATTCGCCCGGCTGCACGCACGAGGTGGGCCCTAGGCAAGAGGGACATTCGGTGTGCGGCCGAGGGGGGAGGGCCCTGTGGGGACACCACCAGGCGCGCAAGCCTCTGCTATCGCATCGCATTCTGCGATCCCGGGACCTCCTTGGGCCCGCACCAGGAGGTCACTCCGGCGAACGGTCACTCTTCCGTGTCGTCGACTCGCGTCCTGGACCCGTTCTTGAGGGTCCCCGGGGCCCGGCAGCGGCCTCGGGGGGGGCCGAGCTCGAGGAACAGCGCCCACGAGTGCGAAGAGCGCATCGTCGGAGATCTGCGTCGCCCTCGTCTTCGACATCCTCTCGTCGGCACGGCGTCGGGCGCGTCGGCAGCGCCGCCTCGCTTTCTCCTCCGTCGAGGCGCGGCTCTCCCAGACAGAGCTAATGGGCCCCCCATGTGTTTTTTTGTTGCTGCTTTCCAGGCGGGCGCATCGAGCATCAACGAAAACAACTCCTCCCCCTCCGTTCTCCTTCCTCCCTCCTCCTCCTCCTCCTCCTCCTCCTCCTCCTCCTCCTTCCTCCCTCCTCGTCCTCGTTTCCAGGAGGTGCAGAAGCAGGAGCAGGCGCGCAGGATAGCATGAGCAGTCGAGGAGATGATGCAGGGGACGAGAACCGAGCGGGGAGGTGCGAGGGAGGAGAAGCGGTGACGTGCCTTGAGCACGAGCAGAGGCGGGAACATGATCACGCCGAGGAGGATGGAGAGGCGGAAGATGAGGTCGAGCACGAGCGTTTTTTCCACTAGACCTCGATTGTTCAATTTACCCTCACGAGTCGTTCATCCAAATGGCGAGTCCCGCGATGCGCATCTCTCGCGCGCCTGCGCAAGACTCAGACATGAAGACGGGGCGCCCCCACCTTCAGGTAGGCCAGCATCTCTCTAAGAATCGGTTCGAACACCTCCCACGCCACGGCGACCACAACCACAATGAGACTCGGATATCCCGCCCCACCCCCCGTACCCGAAGTGACGCCTGACCAGAAACCATGAACTCCCATCACGGACATGAACTAAAAACTCTCTGTCGCGATACAGTCGGGGCCTTGACCTAAGGAACCCAAAATAAGGAACGAGGCCCCTTTTTTATAAGTTAAACTTCGATTCCCGATCGAAAACATAAGGAACCTGAGGCAAGCTGCGAAACACTTAAGGAACGCGGAGCCCCTCCCCAACGAAAAGGGTTCCTTCTTCAGGGCCCCGACTGTATGCCTGTTTTTGAGCCACGTCGAAGAGCAGCGGGGGGGGTGGAGCTGGAAAGGGGACATGCCACCCATTGACGAACACCTTGCCCCGTTGTTTGGCTGCCGCGATCGCCACGGCGACCTCCCAAATCCACCGAGCCTTGGGGCGGGGCCGGACATCACGCCACGGGAGGGGGGCCGTAGCCGTAGCCACGGGAGAAGGAGGAGGAGGAGGAGGAGGAGGAGGAGGAGGAGGAGTGGACGTACCCTGAAGGCGGACTCCCGATGACCGCACTAGACGCGAAGCGCCAAACGCGCAGCACCAGCAATCCGCTCGGCTTCTGTATAGGTGAGGTGTGCCTCAGGAGGCACGGTATCTTTGGCTTTGTGGTAGATATGAAACGCTAAGGCCGAGGAGGAGGAGGAGGAGGAGGACGCCGTGGCTCGGGCGGCCCTAGCCTCGAGCAGGGCATGCCCAGTGCGCCCTGGCGGAGCGGAGCCCCGGGCTCGCGGGTGCCTCTGCGGCCCGTGCGCGGCCTGGAGGTCCAGCCTGGAGGTCCACTCGGGTCGAGCGAAAAAGGGGGATAGCAAAGGGGGGGGGTGTGAGAATCAGCTCACGTAGCTGATTTTCCCGGCGCCTCCCGGCGCCGCAGGCGGCTATGTATCGAGGAATGGGCCCCTCGGTGAGGCCGAAACCAGCTGCATGCAGCAAATTTCGTAACCCCCCCTTTCCCAATCCCCCACTTTCGTCCGGCCCGATCCACCAGCCACACGCAGCCCGGCAACGCAGGCGCACGACGCGGACTCGGCCTGTCCAGCGCACGCCGGGGCTGCCGAGGGGGCCGAGGCGGAGGGGGAGCAGGCAGCTGAGGAAGAGGACGTGGAGGGGGGGGAGGAGAACGCGGACGAGGAGGGGAGGAGGGCAGGGAGCAGGGGAAGGAGGAGCAGGGGCAGGAGAAGAGAGGGAGGCACGTTTTAACACGTGCGGTGACGCCTACTATGCTGTCGTGGCAAGTCGGAGGACCACAACTGGAGCAAGCGGAAAATCACGTTCCCCTCCGAGGTGTGGGAGTGCGACCACGGCTCCGAGAAAGGTCACTAGACAACGTCCCCGAGAATCGCGTCCCGCTCTTAAGATTGAGGCCCGGGCGCACGCGCTGGACATTGCGCAAGTGGTTTGCCCACGTGGTCGGAACGAGAGATTCGCCAGGACGTTGCCGCTAGGCATATACATACGACGTCCTAACCAATATGCGCCACACCATTCGTTACAGATGGCCCTGCCGTTCTGTTTCACCCATTGGCTCAGGGAAGTGAAAGGGTCGCTACCTTCATCGACGGCGCCCTTCAACTCGGCAGCCTCAGATCCGAAGACGGCGTCGACAGAGATTCCAGGACAACCTGCACCGACTCACGGCAACACAACCAAATCAATAATCAAGCAGGCCTGGTCGACATGCTGACGCGCGTGCCACTCGTCCACGGCAAGAGGCAGACAGAACGGGCCAGCACCGGAGAGCAAGCTCGTAAGAGAATTGCCCGTGCACGCTCCTCTGCAACACCGCAGGCACAGCCATGCAGCCCAAATGCAGATCCCCAAACCATGTCATGGTGCAGTGGTGAAAACGCAGGCTGGTGCCCAGGACGTGAGGCATCTAACTACTCCCCATCCCGATGACGATGCATGATCAGCTCAATGGCTCGCGAGCTGCCCATGCCACATGAGCAACACACTGTTTGCCCCGGATTAACCTGGGCAGACGGGCAGACATGAACTCACTGTGCACGGGAGACTGGCCGGCGCACGATGCTGCTCGGCACCATGGCGCACAAAGAAGCCGGCCCAAGCGCTGCCAACCCAAGCACGCAGAGACACTCTGCGCCGCGGGGCCTCCTCGACGGAATTACGCACAGGCGCCAGACCCAAGGGAGAAGGTCCACCCCTGCTCCGAATTCCACAGATTCGGCTCCACGCCAACGCGTGCTTGGCCGACCCTCGGGCCAAGCGCGGGTCACACGGACTACCCTCGCGAGCAATCGCGCCAAGATCTCTCGCGCGGGAACGGGCTGCAGGGGCAACGCCCTGGCAAACGGCCCTACGCTCGGCCCTACCGAAAAACAGCTCCAGAACGGACTCAACCCAGTTGCGCCACGCAAACTGTGCGCCGAAAACCCGGAAGGAAGCCGCTTCCCTATCACGCGCACCACGACACACCACACCCGTGCACACCAGACCAGCCGCACCCCGGGGCGCCCCAGGAAGAGGCGACGCACTCCCACCTCCGCCCCTGCACGAGGTGCCGCCCCGCGGGCACTCCGCGCTGCCGCGCTGGAGCGCAGGCAGGACATCGGGCGCCGGGCGCCACCTCGCGCGCAAGAGGAGCGCGAGGCAGGCCGCGTGACAGCACAGGGCGCCCCCCCGCAGCCTGAGCACACCCTGGCCCTACAGGCGCTGCCGCGCATCAGCGCGCCGCCCCGCGGTGTGCACAACTCGGGTCTTGGTGGGCACGTGCAGCAAAGCGCTTGAATCGAGCCACGTCCGGCCGTACGCGACAAGGAGGACCCTCACAGGACCAGCGGTGATGAGGAATCGGAGCACCTCGGGCAACCTGGCGCGCGGACGACGGGCGGAGGCGAGGGGAAGGAAATAACGGTACTGCCTGCTCTGCTGTTCGGTCAAGGCCAGAGCTACGTAAAACCTGGCGGGGGCTGAGGGAGGGGGGGGGTGAAGGGCGAGGGGGAGGATGACGGGATGGAGGGGGAAGGCGGAGGGAGTGGGATAAGGGATACAGGGGGAGGAGAAGGTGGCAGGGAAGAGGAAAGGCAGGGCGGTCAGTACGGCCCCTTGCCCTTGCCCTTACCCTTGCCCTTGCCCTTGTCCTTGCCGCCCTTGCCCTTCATCATGGCCATCATCATGCTCATCATCTGCCAGGGGTCCATGTCCCACCCCTTGCCGCCCTTCTTGCCGCCCTTCTTGCCGCCCTTGCCACTCCCCTTAGAGATCTCGTTGGCGTTCTTGCAGTCCACCCACTTCCCGTCGATCATGTTGTCGTTGGTGCCTGCGATGGCGGCATCGACGGACGCGGGGTCCTCGAACGTGACAAAACCGAAACCACGGAACAGGCCATCGTCGCTGTACTTGAGCATGACCTCCTTGACGGTCCCGTAGTGCCCGAAGAGCTCGTACACCTTCTCGTCCGTGGTGGTCTTGGGGAGGCCGCCGATGAACATCTTGGAGCCGCCGCCGCCCTTGCCTAGAGAGGAGCGGATAGACGGCACAAGCACAGACTGCCGGAGCTCCGCGGGGCTCTCTCGGATCTGCGCGGGACGCCCCGCCCCTCGCGCGGAAGGGCGCGCCCGACGCGGCGGCGGAGGCGCCGCCGGGGGGGAGGCCCGGCGCCGATCCGAGGGATCCGCGCGGAGCTCAGACGGTCCACATGCTCCTCATGCCGGCCATTCTTCCCCGAGATCGCCGCCGCCCTTGGACGGCATCGGGGCGCGCCCCTCCACGTAGTCGAAGAAGCCCTGCAGGAACGGGGCCTCGTGGCGCCCCGGGTCGAAGTTCGTGTTCCCCGACGCCTTGCAGTAGCCCCACCACTGCTCCTTCGCCTCGGGGCCCTGCCGCTGCCACTCCTGAGGGGCAAGGACGACGACGCCGACGCCGACGCCGACGCCGACGCCGACGCCGACGCCGACGACGACGGGGGCATTGCTGAGGAGGTTGGGAAGTTTCGAGGTTCGAGGTCTTTGAAGATGTCGGGCGTTTTTCCGAAGGTTCTCGGCGGCTTTCCAGCCTCGAGATGCTCTCCAGCGGCCGCGCCTCGCCGAAGGCGTTCTAGGGCTGCCCGGATCGTCCCGAACAGCCGCTGGAGAGTCGGTGTATGAACCGAAAACAAGGGCAACGTCAGTGGGGAAACCCGCTCGGGTGGAAACACCGAGCTTGAATCGGCGATCATTCGCCCATAGATCGGCGATAGGCCCCCAAGGGCAAATCCACACGGTCCTGGGCGGGTTTGGGTAGCAGTGATCAATGGGCGATTGGGGGTCGACGCACCCCCCCCTGAGACTATCCCCAACTCACGTTGCCCCGATCGATCTCTGGTTCGCGGGTCAGAAGTCAAGTCTGAGGCGGCCGTTTTGAACATTCCGGGCACCTCCAGAACGATCTCGGCGAGGCAAAGCTGCTGAACGGCACCCCGAGGCTGGGAAACCGCCGATCACCGACGAAAGCGTCCAAAACCTCGCACCTCGGACCCCTCCCCTCCCCAACGCTGACCCTGGGCTCCTTCACCTTCTGCACCAACACCGCCTTGTCTGGCACCGCTGCCGCGTCTTGGGCCGCACCAGCGATGAGGCCGTCCACGGCGGAGCTCATGTCGAAACCGCTGTAGTCCGCCATGGTGTGGGGGCAAAATCGGACGGGGCTCTGGCCGAAGAGAGACACACGGCACGAGCAGAAGTGGACGTTGGTGAGGACTGAGGGTTTGTACGCGTGCGCGGTCTCTCTCCCACCCTCTCCCTCTCTCTCTTTCTCTCTCTCTCTCTTTCTCTCTCCCTTTCTCTCTCCCTCTCTCTCTCTCTCTCTCTCTCTCTCCCTCTTTTAGGGGGCCACATGCGAACCCTACCCCTATACCCCCCACGATTTCTGAGGGGGAGGCGAGGTGAACCCCACCCTCCCCCTCAGAAATCGTGGGGGGTATAGGGGTAGGGTTCGCATGTGGCCCCCCCTATCTCTCTCTCTCTCTCTCTCTCTCCCTCTCTCTCCCGTGCTCTCTGGCTCAGGGCCTCGCAGAGGCCACCCTTTTTCTTTGAGCGTGGGCGGGCAGGGCCACAGCTCGCTCGCCCGGGGCGGCGCCGCGGGAGCGCGGCGTGGAGCGCGGCCCGGAGGGGATGCGCCGCGCGTACCCCTTGGAGTGTGCCTCGGCGATGGCTGCTGTGACACCCGTGGCGTGGGCTCGACGCCTCGCTCGGGGCCGGCCTGCACTGCACCTTCGCGGCGTCCGCGCCGTTCCCCCCCGCGGCTCGGGGAGGGGGCCTCACGAGAGAGGCGAGGAGGCGGCAGACGCCTCCCGGGAGGAGGAGCAGGGCGCAGGCGGAGCCGACCTGCGCCTGCGGAGGCGACGGAGCAGCCGCCAGCAGCAGCACCCACGCCGCCTTCGGAAGCTGCGCAGCCAGGTGGTGCAGCGACGCCCCGTCCGGTGGGGCCCTCGGCCACGGCTCCGCCGCCAGCCAGGGCCGATCCGGGCGGGCGCCCTGGGCGCCGGGAGGGCCAGCGAGATGCGGAGGAGGCAGAGCGCCAGGCGTCCGCCCACCTCGAGCACGTCTCGAGTCTGTCATCACGTGGGCCACTCCTCGGGGCCACCTGAAGGGCAGCGGCTCGGCGACGCCATGGGGGGCGAGGCTCGGCGTTCCACTCAGACGGGCCCGACGGGGTCGCCACGCGGGCCCTCCTCGGAGCCGAAGCTGAAGAGGCCAGCCTCGGCGAGGAGCCCCAGGGGCAGGAGGCGGCGAGCGCGGAGGAGGCCGAAGCAGGAGGCAGGGCCGCACCTCCCCGGCCCCAGGAGGTACGTGCGCACCAGGAGAGGCTCAGGGGCCTCCCTCAGGAGGCCAAGGCTGGCCATGGGATGAAGCCGAGAGGGAAGCGAGGCATGGCCTGGGTCAGCGCGTGGGATGCCCTGGGAGCTCTGCTGCATCAGCTGATGACTTTCCTCATGGGCCTGGTCGACGCCATGGGGTGGTACTTGTTCGGAGACTACTGGGCCAAGGTGCAATGTATCGCGATGGGCCTGGCGGCGACCGTAGTCGCAACGGTGTTGGGCTCCGCGATCGGCCTCGTGGCCTGGATTCCAAAAACTCTCTTCACTTACTATACCTACGTCTGCACCAAAGTGCGAGGCTGTGCGCGAGGTGGCAAGACGGGTCATGACGCACGCCGTGGCCCTCGAGGGCAACCCCATCGCGGCGCTGGTCTGGCACAGGCCCGGGGAGTCTGAGCCGTTCACGGAGAAGTACGTGACGGACGAGGTCAGAGTAAGAGGAGGAGGAGGAGGAGGAGGAGGAGGAGGAGGAGGAGGAGGAGGAGGTGAGGAGGAGGAGGAGGAGAAGGTGAGGAGAACGAGTAAGAGGAGGAGGACGAGTAAGAGGAGGAGGAGGAGGACGAGTAAGAGGAGGAGGAGGAGGAGGAGGTGAGGAGAAGATTATGCCCAACCACCTCCTGGTCAGGTCCGGAGGCTCCGTGGCCAGGCTCGAGCGAGGGCCGCTCAGAGGCAGCAGGGTCACTCGGCACCGCCAACGTCTACCGCTCCAGGGATGTGTCAGCTCGCACCGACACCTCAAGACGGACATGGACGCCACCAAAGACGAGGACGGAGTCGGCATGGTGCACTTGTGCGCCACTGCCCCCCGCACGCTGCCCGACGACGGCAAGAAGATCGTGCACGTCGGCTCTGCGTGTGCGACGGACCACAGCGACGCGATCAACATGGCGGATCTGGCGAAACTCGCTCCATCGGGTAGGGTGCCCACAGGTGGTCGTGTATGCTGCTCCTGGCCGTGTAGATGCGTTGCGACGATGGCCAATGGGGCCTGCTGATGCTTCTTGGCGCCTGAAAGGCACCCCCGTCACGGTAGCGGGTCCGAGGAGGCAGAGGTCATGGACCCCAACTCGGGGACAGAGTCGGAGCCCTGGGTGGACGCCTGCGAGGCGGACCGGACTTCCTACCTGTCCAAGGGGGCTACTCAGATCTCGTGCCCGAAGGGGTGCAAGGGCTCGGCGAGGGCAGAGCCTGCGATGGTGATCATCGAGGGTACGGCTATCTCTGACGTGCGGCTGGCGCCGGAGTCAGACGGCACGCGCAGCTTCAGGGCGTGCTCCTTCCACGCGCAAGCCTACGGAGCAGAGGCGGCGTCAAGGAAGTGCGCCCGGGCCCACTGCTGCCACGAGAAGAGGACGGGGAAGGACGGGTTCCCACTGTGCAGGGTGCACGCTGCTGATCGCTCGGTGTCCTGGCAGTCGGTCCCACCACGCCTCAGCGCCAGGGCAGCCCAGCGGCTAAGGATCGGGCGGACACGTGCTTGCTGGAACACATACGGGACCCCTTGGCGGACGTTGGGGCTGGATGCGAGACATACTGCACACTTCCCTGCGCGCTTCGTCGGCACGTCCAGGGACTTCACGGTGGACGACCTCAGGACGGGCGTTGAGGGCGTCGGGCTGCGCACCATCTTCTCCATCCAGCACGGCGCGCTGCCAGTGCTGCTGGAAGCGTTCATCTCCGCCCAGCCGCCTGTGATCTGCTGGCGGTCATGAGTGGCGCTGAAGCTATTTATCCGATGAGGGTGACGGCACCAACCATCAGGGGGACCGCCTGAGCCAGGCGGCGGTGGCGGCCGTGGCCAAGGACAGGAGTCGGCACCACCCCAGGAGGCGGACGAGGTGCAGAGGCAGGAGCTCTGCCCCGCCCAGGAAGGCGGCGAGCGGAGACCTGCAGGAGAGGCTCCGGAAGGCACGCGCCCATGACGAGGCCCAGCGGAGGAGCGATCCGCAATTCACCCTCGTGACGAGCTACCTGGCCAAGAGGGTGGACGGCTACTCGGACGAGGCGAGGGAGGCCATGGCCGCGGACAGCGGCGCGGTCCCGCAAGAGCCCTTGGTCGGGCCCATCGGCTCCGCTGACGCAGTGCTCCACGGCGCAGTAGGCGAGGTTGGGCTCAGCCTGCTGCGACGCTGCCTGGAGAGGAGGTGGAGGAGGGAGCCCGAGGGAGCAGAGGAGCGGGCGCAGCCTCAGAGGTCGCTGCAGGAGCAGCCCCTGGCACACGGCACTGCACCGCGCGTGCCCCGGAACGCGCGGAGCCGCGGTGGAGGGGAGATGCAGCTGCTGTCGTCGGGGGAGGGCCCGTACAACCCGCGAGTTGGCGGCCGTCAGGCTGAGCCGCCGCCGCTGCCTCCCCCATCGAGTGCCCGCGCAGGCCTCGGGCTCGTGGGCTTCGGGCAGCGACCTCCCGCCAATCGGCCGACCCCGCGAGTGGACGCCGGGGCCTGCGCTGCCTCAGACGGGGCGAGGTCGACGTCACCTTGGCAAGCCAACCAGCCCGTCGTCTCTCGTAGAATCGGTGGCGCGTCTGAGGGAAGCGGCACGCGGGGGCGCCCGCGAGGCCGACGGAGGAGCGCACGCGGGCCCAGTCGTCCTTGGACACGGAGCTCGGCATGAGCCTGTCGACCTTGGCGAGGGAGCCTGGCCGCGCCAAGAAGAGCTCGGAGGACTCGGGCGGGGCGGCCAAGAGGAGGGTCGAGGAGCGCCTGGTCTTCGTGGCGGGGGGCTGCGACGGCTTGACGGGCACGCTCCGCCCAGGGCTGCGTAGCCAGGGCACCCTCCATGGGCCGCGCTCCATCGGTCAGAGCTCGCGGCCGCTCGCTCGCTCGCTACATGAAGTCCCCAGCGCACATTGCGAACGCGCCATAGCGTGCACATACATACACGTGCACCTACAGGGCTACTGCCCGAGTTGTGCCAATTCCCCCCAAAACCTGCGAGGCGGACATGGACAACTTCGTCCCTCCGAGGGGCAACAAGTTGGAGGCCAGGCCGAGGCACTCCACTCCGGTTGCGCAACGGCTCCTGGGCGCCAAGCAGGAGTCCTGGGCTTGGTCGTGCTTCCACAGCCGGGAGCACTACGACAAGCAGCTGAAGGCGGCAGAGATCTTCCCAAACTGAACGAGGAGGAGACTACGCCTGGCCGCCCAAGATGATCTTCGATGTCTGGTGCGAGCTTCGGGTTAGGTGGTCTGAGGAGACGCGGATGACACGGGCCAAACTGCACGTCTCCCCGAAGCACGGACGATATGTCGCCCTGGCTGCGGATACCGAGCACCTGCAGACTCGAACATCCGAAGCAATTCTTTATGACGGACATCAAGGTAAATCACCACGGCAAGCTGCAGCGAGCGCAGTGGCACATGGCGCTGAGGTCCACTGCAATTTCCCCCCCCCACAGCTGCCTTCGGACCCAGGGCAGCACAAGGCTGGAGCAACAGAGGTTCAAGGCGGGGTGGAGGAGGCGGCGGCCATGGAAGTGGTGGGGCTTCTTGGCGAGGCACTCTGACGCAAGGAGGTGGCGGCGGGGGAGGTGGCCATGGTGGGGCAAGGCTTCTTGGTGAGGCGCTCTCCCGCAAGGACTTCGCCAGGAGCCTGGACCACGGACCCAACTCCCCGACGAACGGCAAGATCACTTGCTGGGATAATTCGAGCTGGAGGGTGTATCAGATCACTACCTGCCCGCATTCTCACCAGACAATCGGCAAGCTGACCCTTCTGGACTGGTCGAACCAAGTGTTCCCAAGGTAGGTTCGCACGCCGAAGCAGACAAAACGCTCCGCTTGCTCAGGAAACAGTACGAGGCAGAGGAGACATCCAACCGCTCGCCGGCGAAAGCGGGGCGAGCAGCCCGCTGGACACCAAGAGGCTGCCGGTCCTGAAGCCAGCGGCAAGAAGATCGGCGAGTCTTCGGCGGAGGAGAACTGGCGTCCCGCACTGGAGGAGTCTTCAGAGGAGGAGCCAAGTCATGAGAGGGAGGAGGGTTCAGAGGAGGAGCCGAGTCCCGTTCAGCAGGACCAGGCGGAGGAGGTCGAGTCGGGGCTGCGTGATCCAGCAAGACAGGCGCAGGAGGGTTGGGCGGAGGCGCCCGATGAGCTCAAGGCGTTCAACCCGACGCAGTGGCAGGAGCACCTTGGTCTCGCGAGTCCCGCTGCCCGAGTCGACCCCAGAGCTGGCGAGGCGTCAAGCGATCATGCACGAGATCGACACCGATCCCACCCGGGTGCACGGCGCGACGGCCCAGAGTCTGCTGGGCTGCTACCTCCGCAAGAGGGTCCGAGCCGCCAAGGAGGCTCTCGCGGCTCATGCGGCCACGTTTGGTGCACGGAGGCGGATGCCGCGGAGGCTTCCTCCAGGGCCAATTACCAGAGTGGCAGAGCAGGAGGGGTCCACCCAGGGCAGGCTAAGGTGGGGCCAGTCACGTGGGGCGACGACGACGAGCCTGGCATGGGCACGCTGTTCCTCGCAGAACTGGAGGGCCTTGGGCGTGCCCCGAGAGTGCAAACACTGTGTGAGGGCGGCCAGCAGGCCACGATCCACCCGGGTCGCGAGACGGACCGTGCAGGACAAAACGCTGTCGGAGCTCTGCGCGGAGCTCTCGGATCGGCGCTGGAGCCCCCTGGCGGCGCCTCCAGCGCCGCCCCTGGCGCGCGGAGCGCGACCGGGAAGAAAATCCAGCGCCGATCCGAGACATCCGTGCGAAGCTCTCCGAAGGTTATGCGTGTGCCGTCGTTTCTCCTTCGATCCGCGGGAGGCTCTGCGCTAAGGTGACCCTCACGAGGGATCAGGGGCAGAACCCAAATGGCATGGCTAGGGGCCCAAACGGCTGCGGAGGAGGGCGGCGGTGACGAGGGCAAAAGGGGCTCACGTCTGCGGGGGGGGGAGCGCGGCCCACCCTCATCAGGCAGCGGCACCTGTCCACACTCTGGCGTCGATCCTGGCAGGGCCCGTCCCGAGGCCCGGGATCGGTGCGTGGGCCCTCCCGGCACGGGGGCCGAGAACGCAGCTGCACGCAGACAGACCGATCCTGGGCCCGGGATCGCACTGGCCGACGGGATCGGCGTGCACGTCGGTCGGAAGGAGCAGCATAAAGAAACTTCGGGTAGGAGAGGGCTTGAACTAGGTTGGGCGTCGGCCCGCCCCCGCAGACGGCAAGAACACAAGGAACGCCCTTTCGAGCATCGAAGCAGGACTGCGCCCACGTAAGCTGACTGTGACGTTCTGGCACTGCCCACGCTCAACGGCCGACGAGTAGTTCATACAGGTGGGTAGCTAGAACCTTGCGACCTCCCCACCGCTCGAAATCGAGGCGTGCGCTCTCGAGGCCTGCCCCCGAGGTGGTCGGTGCACACCGCGTCTCGTACTGTTCGGAGCCTCTGAAAGGGCTTGGTGGTGCCCCCCTTGGGGCGGACCTCTGCTACTCGCCCTCTTCCCTTCCTCCTGCTGTTCCTCCTCCTCCTCCTCCTCCTCTATCCGCGTATTCCTCTGTCTCTGCCTATCCTCCTTCCCCATTCCGGAAAACCGGCCGACTCTGTCGGCGTGTGCGAGGGGTTTGTCTGTTCGAATCGTCGTCTCCGTCAATCGTCGTCTGCTTCGTCCCCTTTCCCTGCACCCTTCTCAAGCCTGTCAGCGAGAGAAACACATCGTAATATCGTAATCGAATCGAAAGGAAGCCCCTTCCCTTTGATCCTCCCGGGGAGGGGTCAAATACGCATCCCCCCGGGGATCCCGGGGCTGCAGAAAGTACCAAAACAAGCCGAAAGTGCCCCAAGAGACCCCCGAGACGGTTCAATAGGTCCCCCAATCGCAAAACGATCGGTTGAAAACGCCTTCACGTTCCCAAACTGCCCAGGAGACCTCCAAGACGCCCCAAGAGGCCTCCAAAGGCACTCCCGAGAAGGCCACAAGAGGCGCAAATCATTGATGTTCTATAAGTTTGACAAATTTGGGCGTTCTCACCTTTTCCGCCTCCCGCCGCTCCAAGACGGCCGACGAGGCCCTCAATATCGCCCCAAGAGGCTTCCAAGAGCGCTCTAAAACATCCGAACAGAACCTCAAGGTGCCCAAAACGCCTCCAGAACGGCCCAAGAGGCCCACAAGACGGCTCCAAGAGCGTGCCTTGTTGGGGAACCCTGACGGACATTTCGAGCCCTCGGCCCCGAGAAGCTCCCAGGAGGCCCCAAGAAGTTCCCAAGAGGTCCAAAGAAGCCCACAAGTCCTCTCCCGCCTCCCTCTCTGTTTCTTCCTCCACCTCCCTGCCAACAAGAAATAGATATTCCAATAGCGACTGCCGAACGCAAAGTGCCTCCTGAAAGCTTCCAGTTGAGGCCCCCTTTCTGGGATGGTTTCCCCCAATTCTCTTGTAGGAGGGCGGCGACGAAGAGGAGGAAGGTGGAGAGAGAAAGGCATAGAAAGAAAGAGAGAGAGAGAGAGAGACTGAGGCACACGCACACACACACACACACACACACACACACACACACACACACACACACACACACACACACACACACACACACACGCACACACACACTTACTCACTCACTCGCTTACTCACTCACTCACTCACACTTGCACTCACACTCACGCTCACACACAAACACATATACACACACACACTCACACCTCCAGCGCGTCGAAGTGAGGCACGTCTGCGCGTAATGTCTCCCCATGTTACCTTCGGCAAAAGGAAATCAGCATCATCCCCCCTCCCCCTCTCCCCCTCCCTGATTACCGTCGGCGGGGGCCACAGCACCCCCATGTTCCCTGGCCGCTGGGGCGCGCGCCAGCTCCTCGTGTTGCAGGTCCGCGTGCACTTCTTCGTCTCCTCCGCCACGGGAGGAGCAGCCACAGGAGCAGCAGCAGGAGGAGGCGCGACACCAACACTGAGGGGTGCATCCGACGATACGTGGCTTGCCTCAGGCTGAGCGGGGCGGGGGCGAAGAAGAGACTCTGCAGATGGACAGCATGATGATGATGCCGGTGATGATGGTGATGATGGTGATGGTGATGGTGATGATGATGATGCCGATGATGCCGATGATGATGATGATGATGCTGCTGCTGCTGCTGATGATGATGATGATGATGATGATGATGGTGATGGTGATGGTGGTGATGGTGATGATGATGATGATGGTGATGGTGCTGATGATGGTGATGATGTTGATGATGATGGTGATGGTGATGCTGCTGATGAATATGATGATGATGACGATGATGATGATGATGATGATGATGATGAGGATGATGATGCTGATGATGGTGGTGATGATGATGCTGATTATGAACAGGAAAATAGGAAGAAGACGACGAAGCAGGTGATGCTGATGGTGATACTGGTGATGGTGATGGCGACGGTGATGCGGATGGTTTGGATGATGGCGCTGATGGTGATGATACGGAGGCTCTGCTTGCAGTGAGGCTGGGTAGCGGCGCCCCCAACCCGCTTGCACTATTGATGCAAACCCCCTGGGACCCGCAGGCCGCTGCGGACAGGGGGGAACCCTCGGGCAGCACCCCCCACGAGGCCAGCGACGAGGGAGATCTCCAGACGCCGAAAGGACGGTCAGACGCCACGGTCCCTGATGAGGACACCAGGACCCGTGGCGGCCGACCACCCACCCCTCTGCGCCAGCCCAAAGGCTGGACGGAAGGCTGGAGCACCCAGACCCCAAGGACGGACCGCCGACGGCCCTGCGGGGCCGTCGGCCGAGCGCTCCGGGCCGCGTCCAGCAGGCCTGCCGAGCAGCCACACCAGCCTCGAAGGGACACGGCATGTGCATCACGCTCTCTGCCGCTGGAGGTCGCCCGGCAGCCGCCCCAAGGCGGCGGCCTCGGGTGGCCCCGCGCGGGCGCGGACCCCCAGAGGGGGGCTGCACGGCTGGCCTCCTCCGCCTGCGAGCCCAGCGTGTCCTCCAGGGGGCCTCGCACCACCTCGCGCACGCCACTGGTCGCGGGGCCCTCCGCCCCCACCAGACTGGGCGCAGGGCCCTGGCCAAACGCTGGCCCAGCTCTTCGGCCTGCTCGCACTCTCGGGGTCTGGCCCCGCGCGGTCCTCGCCTCCTCGGGCGGGGCCTCCAGCAGGGGCTGCCCAAGGGGGTTCACCTGAGGATCCTTGGGTCGCCCCCTCCCACTTCCGCGGCGGGCCACGGGTGGCGGGTCAGCCGCGGCGGTGTCGCGGCGGGCGGCGGGCCGGCCGCGGCGGCCGGCGGGCCAGCGGCGGGCCGACGCGCAACCGCTTGCTGAGCGACTGCGAGCCGCGCCGTCTTGGCCGCCCTGCTCGGCCGCTGGCGCGGCGGCCGCGGCGGAGCGGGCCCGCCGCCGTCGCGCCGACGCGAGCGGCTCCCGACGCACACGGCCGCGATAATCACGGTCGCGGGGATGGCCCAGGTTCCTCGCCCAGGCGGCCTGCCGCGCGCCGAGAGGGCCACGGGCGGGTCATCTATAGTCTATAGCCTCGGTTTCCTTGGCTGCCAGGGTCAGCTCCCCGCGCAGCGCAGCCACGAAGGCCGCCTCCTCCAAGGGCGGCTAGGGTTTGAAGTGGAAGACGGAGCCCTCCAGCGCGCCCAGCTCCCGCCCGTCGAAGGCGTCCCGCGCGGCCGCTGCCATGCGCGGCTCCACGGGCTGCACGATGGCGTCGGTGCCGTCGGGGCCGGCGGTCGCCGAGCGGACGTCCTCGAACCTCCCGAAGACCTTCACCACGTCGGCCTCGGTGGGCTCGCACGCGAACTCGAGACTCTCGAGGCGGACGACGAGAGAGGCAGGGGTGGCCCTCGTCCAGCAGCTCGCAAGCCCAGGCCATCGCGACCCCGCTGCCGAGCGTGAGGATGAGCTTGAGGCCCCAGCGCCGCGACCAGGACGGGCGGCGCCTCGGCCGCGGCAGGCGGCACCCCAGCACCTCCCGCAGGTTCATGAACTGTTGCCTGCGCAAGGACGCCGCCGAGTCCCACGAGGAGGCCCACGAGCTCCATGCCGCCGAGCACCAGGCCCACGATGACATCCATCTCCACGATGGGCAACACCACGGTGCCGACCTCCAGGATGCAGGGCGGCTTCACGCAGAGCTCCACGGCCAAGCCCACGTTACCGCCGAGCTCGGCAGCGACGGCAGAGGCCTTGGCGCGGGCGTCGACGCGCTTCAAGAGGACGCCCACGAGCTCCATGCCGCACCAGGTCCACGATGGCCACCAGCTCCATGATGGGCGGTTCCGCGACGCCGCACTCGAGCAAACGGGAAGGGTCCACGCAGAGCCTTACGGCCATGCCCACGCTGCCGTCGAGCTCGGCCGCGACGGGGCCGACGCAGGCTAGGTCCCCGAACTCCAGCGCCGTGGCGAGCTACAGCGCCAGATCCACGAGCGGCACAACGGCGCCGAAATCCGGCCCCGCGCCGTGCCCCACAGGTCGACGGCCAGCACGAGCTCCGCGATGGGCCCCGCGGCCGTGGTCACCAGCGCCGCCGCTGATCCAGCACCAATGGCGGTGCCCGCCGCCCGTGGGCCGCCGCTCGCCTCGCCCCCCTTTAGCACGCGGGGGCCCGCCGCGATGGGGCAGCCGCGCGGCGGCGCCCACGGCGGGCGGCTCCTCGGCGGCCTCCGCGACCGCGCCGCGCTCCAGGGCGGCCTGCACGCCGCGGACCGTGCCCCGCAAGCCCGCCTCGAGGATCTCCACCAGCCTCGCGGGCTCCGCGCTCGCGAGGCCGCGCGGGATGTCCGCCGCCTCGCCCTGGCCCAGCTCCTTCGGGTCGCCCGGCCGCGCCGTCCCGAAGCTCGCCGCCGAACCCTGCACGCCCAGCGCGGCGGCCTCGAACGGCCTGGCCCCGCTGCTGAGCGGCGCGCGGCTCACCACGACCCGCCTGGCCACGTACGGGACGTGGGCGGCCTCGAGCTGCGCGGCCGCGGGGGCGAAGGGCGCGAAATGGCCGCTCGCTCGTCTCCGGGGCGGCGGAGCCTGGCCTGCCGGGGAGACTCGGCACCAATGGGGGGCCTCGGCTGCTCGAGGCGGGCCGCCTGCAACGCCTCGGCCACCGAGCGGGCGCCCCGGGCAACGGCCTTTGCCTGCGCCCGCCGCTCCGCGTCCAACGCGGCCGTCGGCGCGTCGCGGCGATGGGGTGCGGCCACGGACTTGCTCTCCCGTCTGGCCACTGCGGCGTCGGCCGCCCGCGCTGCCCGCGCCCGCGAAGCGCTCAGCGCGAGACCGCCGTCAACAGCCAGGCGCGGCCGTCGCCCGAATCACACCCCGTCCAATACGGAGCGCTAGTCTCAACGCGAGGACGGCGCGCGTGCCGCAAAAACCCTCGAGCCAAGACGATGACGATGAAGCTGATGATGATGCTGATGATGATAATGATGGGGCGGATGATGACGATAATGACGACGATGATGACGACGATGCTGACGACGATGATAATGCTGCTGCTGATGATGCTGACGATTATGATGATGGTGATGATGATGAGTGTGATGGTGATGGTGGTGGTGATGGTGATGACGGTGCTGCTGATCATAACCAGTTTGAGGATGCGTGTGATGATGATGCTGATGCTGATGCTGATGATGATGATGACGATTACGATGGCGATTACGATGACGAAGGTCATGATGACGATGATGATGATGATGGTGATGATGTTGGTGATGGTGATGGTGCTGCTGATGACGGTGGTGATGATGGTGATGGTGATGGCGATGGTGATGGTGATGATGAGTATGATGATGATGATGATGATGATGATGATGATGCTGATGCTGATGCTGAGTATGATGATGATGATGATGATGATGATGATGATGATGATGATGATGATGATGGTGATGATGGTGATGGCGCTGAAAATGGCGCTGATGATGGTGCTGGTTGTGGTGATGCTGATGTTGATGGTGATGGTGGTGCTGCTGCTGCTGCTGATGCTGATACTAATGATGATCCTGCTTATGACGGTGGTGATGACGATGGCGAAGAAGAAGAGGAGGACGATGCGGAGGAGAAAGAGGAGGGGAAGGAGGATGAGGAGGATGAGGAGGATGCTGCTGCTGCTGCTGATGATGATGATGATTATTATGATGATACTGATGATGATGACGATGATGATGGTGATGCGGATGATGATGTTGACGATGGTGGTTATGATTGTGCTGGTAAGGATGCAAATGGTGGTGCTGATGGTAGTTCCAATGCCAAGAATGATTGATGGTGATGATGAAGAGGAGGCGGAGGAGGAGGAGGAACAGAGACTTGAATGACAAAGGCGGGGAGAAGGGGGGGAAGGATGGCGAGGAAGCAGAACAGTGGACGGTGGTTTGAAGTAGCAGCAGCAGGGGTGGAGAACGAGCGAGAGGGAGATAGGAAGGGGAGCGGAGGGGACTCAGGACTGGGGCGAGGAGGAGGAGGAGGAAGAGGAGGAGAGTGAAAATGGAGGAGTTGTGTTTGTGTTACGTCGTGTGGTGTCAACAGTGCCAGCTGTAGAAGGGGTCTATGCCCACGCACTCTCACTCAATTGAATGAGAAAGCCCATGTCCTGCAGAGCCCAGCTAAGGTAGGGATGGGAGGGGAGAAGAAGGGCAAGGGAGGGAAAGGAAGGGAAAGGGGGACAGAAAAGGTGGAGGGAAAGTGAATGTGAAGGGCTCCTCCTCCTCCTCCTCCTCCTCCTCCTCCTCCTTCTCCTCTTCCTCCTACTCCTCATTCTCCCCGCCCCCTTCCATCTCCTCCTGTCCGCCTTCCTCCTCCTCTTCCACCTTCGCCGTCTCCCCGTTCTCCCAATCCTCCTCCTTCTCCGCCTTCTCCCTCCTTCTCCCCGTCACCATCTCTCTCACATCCCTCGCCGCTTCTTCCGCGTCCCCTCCACTAACGTATTCCCCTTCCCCATTCCTCCCCCTCCTCCGCCCCCTCTCCTTCTCGTCCTCGTCCTCGTTCTGGGGCAACCGAAAGGCAACGATACCGCCACTCCCAGGACCACTCCCGGGGTGCGTCCCAACCAGCATTTCGAGGATGATCCAGCGGTGGCGATGAGGGCCTCCCAGGAAGCCCCGAAAAGCTGATCTCCCTCCCCCTCACTCGGTCTCCTCCGCCGCGCCCGCGTCGCAAGAGGCGCCGCCGCAGCTGGCGTGCTCCAGGACTCTCCTCTGGAGCGGCGGGGGGAGAGGGGAGGCGTTGAGCACGGGCGGTCGCAAGGGCATCATGCTGCCATCATCTGGGCAAGAAACACCATCCCCAATCCCATCAACGAAAAATTGGCAGACCAAACACCCCCTGGGTGGTCACGAAGGCCGCCGCCTTGGGGCTTCGCGGTGCCCATCCCCATCCGGAGGGTGTGCGCTGGAAGAGGCAACCTGCCCTGTACGAGTGGGGGTGGGGATGCTTCCGACGGTGATGACAGAGGGAACGCTAAGGAACGAGGCACATGTTTTGAACTCCAAACCATCTGGGTGCACAATGAGTGCCAGAGGAGCAGCGATCCCCGTCAAGACCCGAACTGCTCCTCATTTCAGCGTCTTGGCTGTAGGAAGGGACTGGGTTCGAAATTCCAGGGGTCGATTCCGCTGCGCGGTACTCGTGGAGGGCTTGTTGCACTCAGGCTGGAGGCATCCTTCTTGCTGCTGTCGTTTCTCCTCTCCTTTGCCAGACGTTCCTAAGGGAATTCTGCGCCTGTGTCTCTCGTGCGGCCTTCGGGGCCCCGCGGAATCCTAGTCGCCGTCGCTTCCATCCTGCTTAAATCGACGTCTTCCTTCGATCGGGCTTCCAGCCTCTGCCCTAAAGCTGCCAACGAACGAGTGAGTAGGAGGGGGAGGAGGGGGAGGAGGGGTCATCGGGGATCTGGGATCGAGGTTTTCGTGGGCGTTTCGTTGCCCTGGGCCTCCAGAGGCTTCCCCGAGGCCCCTGCGGACCTGACCTGTGGAGACCCCCACAGGGGGAGGAGGCCGAGGAGGAGTTTAGGACGTTTTGGGGAGGGATGGGTTTCTACAGGCATACTCATGGTCTTAGGGCATCCGAGGGTTATACGTATGAGGAGGATGAGGATGAGGATGATGAGGAGGATGAGGAGGAAAAGGAGGATGAGAAAAACAATAAGACCACAGGAGGATGATAATGTGGAGAAGACAGATGGGGGCAGAGGCTGGAACGAGGAAGCGCGCCTGGAACAGCTGCCTAGGCAGGGCGATGCCGTAAGGAACGCCTCTAAAGGAAAGGCTGCATGGATGGAACGTTCAAGGGCTGACAAGGGATCTGATGAAAATAAGGGGACATAGAACATATAGTTTGGGAGTATGCGGTCGCTTGGACCTTTTCTTCACTCTTCTTTGTTTTCTTTTTCTCTGTTTTCTGTTCGCGTGTGTGTGTGTGTGTGTGCGTGTATGTGTGTGCGTGAAAGAGTGGGTAGTGTCGTGTATATGTGTGTATGTGTGTATGTGTATGAGTGTTTGTGTGTGTGTGTGTGTGTGTGTGTGTGTGTGTGTGTGTGTGTGTGTGTGTGTGTGTGTGTGTGTGTGTGTGTGTATGTGTGCGTATGTGTGTGGTGGTTCCATCGCCCTTGGCTCAAGGCCGCTCTTGCTCGCGGTTGGCCAGCGCGGCCCCCTCGGGGCCGGAGCCTGCCCTGGACTTCGGCCAGCCTGGGGGGGCGCCGGAAGGGGCCTCCTCCTCTCGGCGCCCCTCTCCGCGGTCCCATGGTGTCGCCCTCGGCTCAGCGTCGGCGGCCCCGCGCTGCCGCGCGGGCGGCCCGCGGGCGCTGTTGGCGCCGGGCGCGCCATGGGCGCCGTGGGCGCCGCCGGCGCCTCGGGCGTGCCCCGCGCCACGGCGCCGGGCGCCGTGGGCGCCGCGCGTGGCACCCGCCGCCGCGCCGCCGGCCGCCGCCGGCCCCGCGGCCCGCGGCCGCCGTGGGCGCCCCCCCGCGCCGGTGGCGCCGCCGGTGGCGCCGCGGGCGCCGCGGCGCCGCCGCCAGGCCTGCCGCCGCCCGCGGCCGACAGCGCCGCAGCCGCGCGGCCCGTCGCGGCTGCCGCCGAGGCCGCCGCTCGCGCCGCTGCCGCCGCGGCGGGCGGCTCGCTGGCCCCGGCCGCCGCTGCCGTGGCCCGCGCGGCCGCCCTGAGCCGGCCGCCGCGAGCGCCGCCGCCACGGCCGACGGCGCAGCGGCCGCCGCCGCGGCCGCGGCCGCGGTCGCGACCGCGGCGGCCGGCGGCGCTCCCGACGCTGCTGGCGGGTCGCTCAGCTCCGCCTGGGGCGACTGGGCGCCCTGTACTGGATCCCCGCTCCGCCCGCTCGGTCACGACGGAGTCCAGCAGCACGACCCCGAGCAGCTCGAAGGATCCCGGCCTTCTCCTGGAGCGCTGGGGACCTCAGGAGGCCCCCGCGACAGTGCGCCTCTGGGACAGCCGTCTGGGAGCGCCCGACTCGTTCCACCGTGCCACGGCTGCCCTCCGCGGGGCGAGGCCCTCGCCACGGCGACCCCCAAGCACCCCGACGGACTCCAGCCTTCTCCCGGAGCGCTGGGGGCCTCAGGAGACCCCCGCCGCAGTGCGCCTCAACGAGAGCCGTCTGGCAGCGCCCGGATCGCCCCGCCTTGCCACGGCGACCCCAGAAGGCCCCCCCTGCGACACGGAGCACCTTGCTCTGGGCGTGCCAGTCTTCGCAGGTAGGGAATCAGGCCCACCTCGCCGTGCGTGCACCGGCCAGGTGCGGCCCCGGACGCGAGGCGGAAGGGAGAGGAACCGGTGACGGACACCACACGGCCGCCCTCCGCGCGACTCGGCTCACTCTTTGACGGCGGTGGTCACCCCTGTTGCCCCCACGGCCCACCCTGTCCACCCGGGCAGGGGGGCCGTCTCTCTCTCCCGGGTGTGACGCTGGCCGCGGGGAGGGCGCAGCCCCAGCTCACTGACCTTGCACCAGTTGGGTGCGACCCAAGACCCAGGGCGGGAGGGGGAGGAGGCGGGGACGGACACCAGGGACGCCCTCCGTGCGACTCGGGTCACTCCTCCCCAACACCAGGCAGACGCAACAAGAACACACTGCTTGGCCTTCCTTGTATGTGTCACTTCCATCGCCCTCAGGCACCATCCTGAAGAGTGCGAGGCTGCTCGCAATGAGGAACGTCATCATCAAAGCCGCAGCCACGATAAAGAGTCTGCCCACCCGCAGTGGCACGCGGAAGGCAGGTGGTGAAACTGGGACGGACCAGTCACACCAACAAGCAGAAAACCGCCGCGGAACGGCTTGAGCCCAAATGGCTAGCAGAAGGGGGAGGCGGAGGGAGAGGCTGGAACCCCTGGTGGCGGCGTCCTGGAGCGGGTCGTCTGGCCCCCGCACCGGTCGCACTCGCCCCACTCGCCCCAGTCCCGCCACGTGCAGTCCACAGGGCTGCACTCGCCTGCGGCCCGGGCAGGGGGGGCGGGTGGGCACGCGCTCGCCGCCGCCCGAAGGGCGACGGGGTGGGTGCTGCACTCTACCTCGCCCCCGCTCCTCCTCTGCGCTCCTGCCTTGCTATCTGCTTTCGTCCCTCCTCTGATCTGCTCTGCCCTCCTCCTCTTCCTCGTCCTCCTCCCATCACATCATCCTCCCCTTTCACATCCAGCCTGGAAGCTCCTGTTGCTCCTCCTCCTCCTCCTCCTCCTCCTCCTGCTCCTCCTCCTCCTCCTCCTCCTCCTCCTCCTCCTCCTCCTCCTCCCCCTCCCCCTTCCCCTCCCCCTCCTCCTCCTCTCCCTCCTCTTCCTCCTTCCCCTCCTCCTCCTCCTCCTCCTCCTCCCCTCCTCCTCCTCCTCCTCCTCCTCCTCCTCCTCCTCCTCTCCCCTCCTCTCCCCTCCTCCTCCTCCTCCTCCTCTCCTCCTCCTCCTCCTCCTCCTCCTCCTCCTCCTCCTCCTCCTCCCCTCCTCCTCCTCCTCCTCCTCCTCCTCCTCCTCCTCTCCTCCTCCTCCTCCTCCTCCTCCTCCTCCTCCTCCTCCTCCTCCTCCTCCTCCTCCTCCTCCTCCTCCCTCCTCCTCCCCTCCGCCCTTCCCCTGCTCCATCAGCGTCTCTTCCGCCATCTGCCCCTCCTCCTGCTGCTGCAACTAATCCTCCCCCCTCCCCCCTTCTCCCTGCGCCTCCTCGGCAGAAGGCTCTACCAAAACTGCCCCAAGATGGCTCAAAGAGGCCCCCAAGGCGACATATTTGCAAATGCCTTATGGCTGTTTTCCATTGTCCCCGTCGTCTTCGTCGCATCCCTCCCACATCTTCATCCTGCTCCTCCCATTTCCTGCTCCTCCACTTCCTCCTTCTATTCCTCTTCCCCGTCCTCCTTCTCCGCATCCTCCCATCCAAAGATTACATGACTCTGAGCGAGGACGTGCTCCGCTCAATTCCTCGCTTGTCTGTTCGCCCCCTTCTCAGTCTCCTCCTCATTATCCCTATTCCCTTCTGCTCCTCCTCTTCCTCCTCCTTATCCGACTGCTCCTCCTTTTTCCTCTGCGCTTGGGGATCGTTTCTGGATGGGCTGGTGGGCATAGACGGTGTGCCATCGACTTATCACATGCCACATGGTGCTACGACATGTGTGCGAATTCAACTGCTAGGCGGCTGTTCCCTTTCGAAGTTGCCACCAAAGCGAGTCTCCGTGGGCTGTGATCCTGGTTTGTTTCTTGTCATCCTCGCCCTCCTCGTTCCAATCGCTCCACTTCTCCCCTTCTATCGCCCTTATCCCCCATCTCTGTCTCCACCCCTTCTCATCCCATCTCCCTCTCCGCCCGCCCCCATCCTCCCGCCTACCCCTCCCACCCCAGCCCCCTTCTTCCCATCCTGGAGGAGGGAAGACGAGGAGGAGGAATAATGAATGAGTTAATGAACCCCTTCGCGATGCGAATCTGGAGGAGCAGGAGTAGGAAGAGGAATGAGGACGCAGGGAGGGAGGGCGAGAGGGAGGAGGTGGATGAGTAGAGGCCTCCTAGATGGGGTCGGAGTGGGTGGGGTCGGAGGATCGCGCCGCATCGCCAATACATCGGCGGTGTATCGACGATACATCGGCGACGTCGGCTGTGCATTGGCGACGCCTGCGCGGTGAAAATCGGGCTCCACATCGAGCCGCATCGGCGATGCATCGGCCATGCGGCGCGATCCTCCGACCCCATCTACTCCGACCCCATCCAACAGGCCTAGAAGGATAAGCAAGAGGACGAGGAGGAGGAAAGAGGATGAAGGGGGAGCCCCGGGGAGGGGGATGGAGAAGGAGGAGGAGGAGGAGGAAGGAGGAGGATGGGGGACGAAAAGCTAGGTGCGCTCGCGCTACGTATGTCATCATACCCATCCCACCCATCTCTTGCCCATTGCGCTGACTGTTCTCTATCCGCGGACGCGTGTCATAGCGGACCTCGAACTGGCAAAACGATCCCACCGTGTTATCCGACTTCGGCAAAGTTGAGCTGCGTACATAGAGGAAGGAGGAGGCGGAGGAGGAGGAGGAGGAGAAAGAAGAGGAGGAGGAGGAGAAAGAAGAGGAGGAGGAGGAGGAGGAGGAGGAGGAGGTGGCGGAGGACTGCCATCTGCGGGATCCATCCCCGCACTTACCCCCTGGCGCCGCGCCCCGCCGCGCGCGCGCCACTGGGGGAGCTGGCGTCGGCCCACGGGCCGCCGGCCCTGGGCCGCACGAGACGTGGCGAGCGGCACGAGGGCCCGATGGGCGCGGACGAGGCGCAGACTGGAGGCGGACATGCCGATGAAGCCGCTGCATGCGGCTCTGAACCGCCTGGCATACGCGGCCAGGAAGAAGCTGAAAAGGCGTCGCGCTGCCGGCGAGGGCGATGCTGCTTGCCTCGGCCGCGACGGAGGACGATCACCTGACGGGGAACGGCGCTGAGGTAAAGCTCTGCGCTCAGGCATCCAGCGGCCGATGACCAAATTTCCACCAGCGCCTGGCGGAGTGCAAATACATCGTCGTTGATGTTGTGGAGCGCGACCAGTTCGAGAAGTACGACCACAAGTACGACCAACAGTACGACCAGTACGACAACCTGGCGTCGGCGGCTACAACCAGCACTACCAGCACGACCAGCAGTGCGTGGTCGACGACCGTCGCTACAACCACGATGCGCAGCCGCACGGCAACCTCCAACTGCCCGCAATCCTCCTGGCGTCAGGCCTGGCGGCGGAGGCCAACTGCGAGGCTAAGCTGCGAGGGCCAGAGGCCGAGCTGCGAGGGCCACTGGCAGAGCTGCCAGAGGCACCTGCAAAGCAGCGAGGGCCATTGGCTGAGCTACGAGTGCCACCAGCTGGACTGCGAAGGCCGCTACCTGAGCCACGAGGGCCACGGGCAGACCTCCGTGGGTCACCAGCAGGGTCAAAGGCAGAGCTACGAGACCCACCAGCTGCTCTACGAGGGCCACCTGCGAATCTACGAGGACCACAAGCCTCAGGGGCAGCTAGCAGAGCTCCGAGGGCCACTGCCTGAGCCACGAAGGCTCGCAGAGGAGCTCCGAGGGACACGAGCCGAACTACGACGGCAGCAGGCAGAGCTCCGAGAGCCACGAGCAGGGCTACGAGGGCCACTCCTGGAACTACGGAAGCGAACAGCTGTGCTACGAGGACCACAAGCTGAGCTACAAAGGCTACACGCATACCTACTAGAACCACTGGCACAGCTACCAGGGAAACCTGCAGCGCAACGAGAACCACCAGCAGAGCTACGATGACCATGGGCTGAGCTACTAGGTCCACCACCTGAGCCTCGAGGGCAATCAGCCGAGCTACCATGGCTACAAGATCAACAGGCTGAACTACCAGGGACACCTGCTGAGCTAGGCGACAACCCACCGCCAGAGCTACGAGGAACACCTGCTGAACTACGGAGGGCAACGAGCTGAGCACAGAGGAGCGCCACACGCTGAGCTCCTAGGGCCGCAAGCAGTGCTGCGAGAGTCACAAGCTGAGCTGCGCGGGCCACCTGCGGATCCACGAGGTCCACCTGTAGTTCTACGAGGGCCACAGCCTTGGCTTCTGGTGCATCGAGCAGATCCCCGAGGAGCACCGCATGAGCTGCGAGCGCCTCCAGCCGAGCTGCGAGGGCCACAGGCTGACCTGCGGCGGCCAGAGCTCCGGGAGCCACCAGCAGAGCCACCAGGGCCACTGGCTGTCCTACGAGGGCCACAAGCTGCGCTACGACGGCCGCGAGCAGATCAACGAGGACTGCCACCAGAGCTACGAGGGCCACAAGCCGAGCAACGAGAGCCACCGCCAGAACTACAAAGGCCACGGTCTGAACTGCGAGGGCCACGAGGCGAGCTACGAGAACCACACGCAGGGCTACGGTGCCCGGACAAAAAGTGTCCACGCCGACGGCGCGAAGATAACCAGGCATGATGGCAACGACAATTGCAATGCACGTGTGGCTCGCCCCCCTTACCCCCAAACCCAAAGTTGAAGTGTCCACATTTTGTCCCCCGCGCGTTGCCTCACGCCCAGCCCCGTCAACTTTGGGTTGGGGGGGGCGGGGGCTATGGATATTTGTTCGACGCAATTCGGTGTCGTGTCAAATTGGCGCGATGGGTGTGGACACTTTTTGCCCACCCACCGTACGAGGACCACCAACCGAACTATCACGGGCACCTGCTAGCAATAGGAACACCACGACTGGCACCCGGAACGCGGAATCCTACGGCTTGGCAGCCGAGGACTCCGACGCCGACCTCGTGGACTCCGACGTCCACAAGGGCTTGCAGGTGAACGTACAGCCTCGACTATACTTCCTCGGCCAGGTGCACGAGCACGAGCACGAGGAGGGCATCCAAGCTCCGCAGCGGGGGCCAGCGCAGCTCCGACGACCAGCAAAACTGTGAGAACCTCCAGAAGGACTCCGAGAACATCTGGCCGAACTACGAGGGCAACAAGAGCTTCGAAAACCACAGACAGAACTACGAGCACCACCAGCTGAGCTACGAGAGCCACAACCAGAAACAGCTAATCCATCAGCAGAGCTAGCAGGCATACTGCCAGCCTGGAGCACCACAAGCTAAACTACGAGGACCACAGGCACAGCTACGAGAGCCAACTCCAGACCTACGAGGGCCAGAAGCTCAACCACGATGGCCACAAGCAGGGCTACGGGGACCACCAGCTCAGCCACGAGGGCTGCAAGCTCGGCTGAGAGGGCCACAAACAGGGCAACGAGGGCCACCAGCTGTACCGCGAGGGCGACCAACTGAGCTACGAGAACAACAAGCAGAACTACGAAGTCCACCAACTCAACAACCGGAGGCACCAGATCTGCGTCGTACGAAACAAGCAGACCTACTGCAGCCAGCAATAGCGCTGCCAGGGCCACAAGCGGACCTTCCAGGACCATAGGCTGAGCTACGGGGAAAAGCTGTACTGCAAGGGCCACGTGCAGCCCTAGGAGAACCACCAGCACAGATGAGAGGACACACTGCTGAGCTACGAGGGCCACAACGTGAGCTGCGATGTCCCCAAGAACGACTAGAGCCGCCTACAGAGCTACCAGAGTGACAAGCTGAACTGACAGGACCTGGAGCAGAACTTCGTGAACCACCAGCTCAGCTTCGAGGGCCACCCGACCAGCTGCGAGGGCCAAACCTGATCAACGCGGTCCGCAAGCAGAACTACGAGAGCCTCCTGCTGAGCTACCAGGGCAAAGAGCTGAACTGCACTGCCAACCAGCTGAGTTTCAAACTGCGCTACGAGAGCCGCAGCCGCAAACAGAGCTACGAGACTGACTAGAAGTCCTACCCGTGCGACCTGCTGTTCTACAAAAGACGGCAGCAGGGCTACCAGGGCCAGTAGCTGAGCTGCGACCCCCACGCGCTGAGCTGTGGGAGCCACCTGCAAGGCTACGGGGGCCACGAGCGGAGCTACCAGGGCCACCCTCCTATACTACGAGGTCCACGAGACGAACACCAAGGCCCACGGAAGACCTGGACTACCAAAAAGCCAATCGCCATTGGCGACGCAGTGCAGGACAGGCTTGGCACGACGTACCACGACTTCGTCGTGGAGAAGCTGGACGAGACGTCCGCCACAATCCGCGGGCTGGTTGGTAGCACGTGCCGGCTCCAGTGAGCGGCACTCCGCAGACCGCACTCGTTACGTTGAAACCAGCCCACCAAAAGCTGCCGAGGATTGTTATCCCACATATTATCCTTTACTTTCACCGACAAGGCGAGACCCGCCTGCTTGAAGCCGGAGAAGATTTCGGAATCCGAGCTGCAGCGTTACGGACAAAGGTAAACAAAAACATCGTTACACACAAGATACTACGTTTACTTCAAATTCAAGATGTCGCATCTACTTCAGTCTAGCGCTGCACCTCCACATCACATGGGCGGCCCGGCCGCTCATCATCATCCCTCTCCTTCCTCCCTGGGCCTCAGGATAGAAGGCGGGCAGGTGGCCTCTCCCCTTCTAGGAGGAGAGGAGGAGGAGGAGGAGGAGGAGGAGGAGGAAGAGGAGGAGGAGGAGGAGGAGGAGAAGGAGCAAGCATCCCTGGAGTACGGTTTCTCCCCGCCTAGGGACGCCGCGGGCGCGCCTGCGCCGAGCCACTCAGGCTGTCGTTGAAGTTGTCCAGGGCGCCGTCGTTGTTCACGAAGACGTGGGAGGCAGAGACGATGGTGCCGACGTCGACGGAGGGGCCGACGAGTGCTGCGACCTCCTCGAACTCGCCAACAATGCCGTGGGGGCCAGCATCTCCAGGTCCACCCGCGACTGGATGGAGAGGAAGCGACGGGGCCGAGGAAGTCGGGGAATGCCGCCTCGGCATCACCCTCGTCAAAGTTGGTGGCGTCTGCCACTGTTAAGAAGTACGGGTCCGCAGTGCTCGCACAGGTCCGCACCTTGCTGGGAGTCATTGAGGCCCACATGGAAGAGGTCCAGTGGCGCGAGGCCGCTCGGGGCGACGTGGGCAGCGGAGACGTCAGCGCCGACCCCGAGGGAGGGACCGTTCAGCATGCCACCGCTCTCGGAGCCGCCGGTGTGGTTGCAGAGGCCATCGACGCCAAGAGTTCCCACCCCAGGTTGGTGAGGGGGCGACACAGCAGGGGGCAGGAAGTCAGGGAACACCAAATCGCCAGCACCCTCATCATGGTTGGTGGGCGCCCCGTCGACGGCGTCAACGATGGCCAGGAAGGACGGGTCCGAAACGCCATGCCCCTCATGCTCGTCAGCGGCCTCCAGACAGGACGGGCCAATGTCCTCGAATATGTCGAGCTCCAGTAGCTTGCTGGGGCGCCTCCGCAGCCACGTTGCGAACTCGCGGTGCTCCTGCGGAAGAGTCTGGCGATCAGGAACCTCAAGCGCACGCCGAAGAAGGTCAGGCTCGAGGACCGCTAGCTGCATGATCGGGAACAGCCACATCATCCAAGTGCGCAGCAGGAAGAGCATGTTGAAGCCCAGGATGAAGACCAGCTTCACTGGATAGAGTATGGAGAGCGCGGCGAAGTTGGTTGAGGGCCATCCCAGGTCGACCAATAGCGCCACCGCCAACTGCCGCGCCCGTCGACTCGTGGCCAGCGGCCGCGGGGCCCAGCACAGCATCATCATGGGCAGGATAAAGGGCAGGAGGATCTTGGTGGACAGGAGGTACTCGTCCATCAACCACTGGTGGTGGAGGATGTTCAGCTGGGCGAGGCCAGCGCCCAAATGGGCAGCCGCAGAAGACAGCAGCTCAGGACCGGCAGGACGGGTCACCGCAGGCCTCGAACGAGACGGTGGCATGCCAAGCCAGCGAAGGACGTCCTCGCCGCCGCCATGAGGGGCAGGATCACGAGAACTGCCAGCAGGCCATGAGGGCAGCACGGGAGGAAGTTCACCATCCTGAGAAGCAGACGCAGGGCGCAACTGCGAGGCCGCTGACTGGTCCGCGAACTGGCCGAACATGTATTCAAATTCCTCGTCGCTCATAGCTTCGCCCTCAAACGGCGGTGGCGGCCACGAGCCCATGATCTCGCCGCGATCGAGCAACGAATCCATGAAGCGTAGGTCTTCGTCAGTGGGAGAGGGGTAGGTGTCGCGCAGGTCATCGTCCACCTCCGCTGCCGCGAAGCTGTCTTCTCCTGATAAGGAGGTCGTGGAGTAAAACTCGGGTTGCAGCGGGTCAACATCCTTTGCCTCCAGCTAGAAGTCGCGGGGCCAAATCTGCGGGTTCTGGGGGGGGTAAGTCAGCAGAGGGCGCCACGGCACTCCAAGAACCACCTGAGTCTATCCAAGTCACGAAGCGCGCACACGAGGTAAGCGACATCCTGGGAGGGCCAGGCTGCCATCGGCGCATCCCAGGGTTTAGATCGAGATGCTTGAGAGCAGTGTCGAGCACATCAGGGTCATTGAGCGGTATGCGTGTCACGAAGAGTCGGCGCAGTCGTTCTCTCGACAAAGCTGAACCATGCCACCGTGCCAAGCAGACTTCCTCAGCAGCACGGCGCATCGCATTGTCCAAGCCCGTAGTCCTGCTGGCGAGAAACGGTGAGACGCCCTCGTAGTGAAGAGCGCCGCAAACGTAGTCGATGCACCAGCCGAGCCAAGCATTGAAGTTACCCTGCGGATCGGCAAAGTAAGTCGAGGGGGACCTGGAAGACGCCCGCGAGGCAGCCCTATTGATGAGCCCCATTCTGCGGTGTTCAGCCTCCTGCCTAGGTGTCCTCGTCCTCGTCAGCTTGCTAGACGTGGGGGCGCCGGTAGCAGCCGCTCTCTCCACCGCGGATGCAGCAGCGCCCGCCATGTCCCCCCCGCGCACTGTGAACCCTCGCCTGCTGTGGAAGGAGTGCCCTGGGGGAGGCTTAGACGGGTGGCGACGTTAAGCCTGGGCGAGCCAGAACTTGAGGGATGCGCGCCGACGGCCGAAACGAAGACGGCGTCGTCGAGGGAAGCGTTGCTATCGACGAGGTCGGCGTCGCGCAGCTCGACGGAGTCGCAGTGAGGAGCGCGCGGGGGGGGGCCGCTATCATCGCCTCGTCTTCCAGTGGGTCGCCGCCAGCGGGAAGGGTGTAGACATCCTCCGCGCGATCAGCCAGAAAGAACACATCTTCCAGGACCGACGGCGCAGGCCATGAACCCGCAGACGAGGGCGGCGACGAGGAAGCCGCAGAACAGGACCCACTGCCAGAGGCAGAAGACGAAGAGGAGGACGACGAGGAGCTGGACGCAGCACTCAGCACCACAGGCGCGCCGAACATAACGGAACGAAGGCACCAACGACGAGGGAGATGCGCGGGGCGCTGGGCCCCCAGCGAGACAGCTCGGAGCGCCGCCAGCGCGCGCGAGCGCGCAAATGAAAGGGGCCACGCGCCAGTCGGCACTTCGCGGGAGGCCGCGTGGTAGGAGAAGTACATGCTAGCCACATCGAAGATGACCTGCGAGATGCCCACCGCACTGCCGAAGAGACCAAGTCGGCCCAGTGGGTGCGACGGCCTCGAGAAGCCCGGCGCCTTCTCGATGCGCGAACGGAAACAGCGGCGGCCAAGGTTGTGCTGAACTCTGTCAGCTTCTCCTGGGCATCCAAGGCGGCACCCGAACCAGCCGCGATCTCCGAGGATGCGGTGAGAGGTAGTCCAACCATTGACCAGCGTCTGCAGGTATGCGAGTGCCCATGGGGTAAAGCAGCTCTTCATTTTTTCCGCCAGTGCCGCCCATCTTGATATCGGAGTGATAGAAAAGCCATCGTCCATCATGTCAGGGAAGGAGCGCATCAGTCTCGTCTCGAAATAATGCCACAAGGGAAACGGGCAGAGGGCATTCGTCACTGACGCACCTGTGGACTTCTGAAGGCCTGAGCTCTTAGAAGAGTCTGCAAGCCACACTTCGGCAGCGCTTCTCGCGGCGCTTACACTGGGCGGAGAGTCGCAGCTTTGTCCACGAGCCCGCGTTTTCCGTTGTAGAGAGTTTCCACGCATGCTTCCGACTTCCAGAAGGCAGGGCGCGGTCTTGATGAAGCAGCCTGCGCCAGCGTACGGAGGTCACCGAGACAGTGATGATGCCGATGGAGCCAGTTATAACGCCTGTCGAACTCTGGAAAAATGCGGTAAGCCATCCGCAGGAGCGCACCGAGGCTGAGGGCCAACCACGAGCTGATCGAAAACCCACCCGCTGTCTTGAGCTGAAGCCAGACCGGTAAGGATAATGCTCCCAGTGGTAGCCTGAAAGAGCGCGACAACGCAACCCGCTCGCCGTTGAGAAGTCAACCAAGCATCCAACGGAATTGAGCCACATAAGAAAAAAAACAGTCGTGATTCTCGTGTTGTGGTGCACTGGGTGCCGAGGCACGGGGAGATTGCTGTGCCCCACCAACTTCGAAAGCAATTGAGCTTTGATCGGCGGGGCACGCCAGCATGCATCCGCGTCAGCGGCAGGGCCAATAACGAGACCGAGATAGGTGAGCGAGTCGACAATGCCGATATCGCCAAAGAATGGAGCGCACACTCGATGAAGCGGCCGGACTTCCTCCTTCACTGCGGGCGAGAAGGGCTTGTGGAGCGGCACCAGCTTGCAGTTGTCGGTTCGAAGCTTCAGCGTGGCGGTGGCTTCTGCTGCCATCATAACATTTTCCAAAATTGCAAAAGGGAGGAAAGGTGCCGAACCACACATCCGATCTCGTCTGCACAGGCGCGGGCAATGCCTGCCCTGGGAGCTTCGAGGCGCTCTTCCAAGTCTGATAGGAACGGCGCGGTGGTGGCCCCATGCATGGAACCACTAATGGAGCAGCCTTGAAAGATGCCCGACGTAACCCACCACGCATGGGTTGGCGTATTGTTAACCATTGAGAAGGCTTCAAGCTCGGTGCACAGCTGGTCGATAACTGACATGAACGCCCTGGGCACCTGCACCGCCGAGAAGACCATGCACATGAATTCCTGCGATAGACTGGGAAAGACAGCACCGTGATCGAGGGCAACCAATGCAGGGGTGTCCTGCTGCACGTTGGGGGCGTTGGAGTAGACCCTGCTGAATGTGTCAAGCTCCAGACTGTCGGCGCCAAAGTTGCGCGACGGCATGATGAACTCCCTCTGTGGATGAGGGGCCCAACCACGAAGAAGTTGACTGAAGCGCGCGTTGGTCGTCGCCGCAATGATCTTCCGGTCAGCGCTGCGCAGTCCCAACGCCGTCGCCGCCGAGGGGGCGCGCGATCATCCCGCCGACATGGAGTCAGTTGCGTCTTCGCCCTTGGGCAGCCAGACCTGGAGCGCGTCGTTGGAGGACTTGAGGGGCGCCTGGCCAGGTAGGGCCCAGATCATAGCGTCAGCAAGGATGTCCAGCCCCATCGGCGAGGAGCACCGCGCCAAGTAGGGGGCCCGTCGAGCCCGGGCCCCGGGCTCAGGGTGTCGGAAGCGCTTCGCGGAGTCCTTCAGGAGCTTCGGCGAGGGACGGGGGGCGCGGAGCCGAAGTCCAAAGGCCGAAGATGCTGATGAAGATAATCAGCTGCGAGGTCACGATTGATCGGTTTCGCCGCGAAGATTAGGGCCCAATGCTCGATCAGCTTCCCGCGCACGCGGCGCTGGTCCGAGACAATCGAGATGCCCCCGTCCGTTTTACTACCTGGCAGGGCAAATCGACGAGAAAGCGGTGACCAGATAGTCGCTTTGCGCTCCAGCTGCCGCGGCTGACTCCGATGCTGCTGACATGGGCGCTCGTTGGCAAGTGCGGCTTCCACTTGTTTGCCGAAGCGCGTCGACCCCGCGACGATGGGTCTTCTCACTCCACTGCTGGATGCGCGGAGCACGGCGGAGAGAAGCGGATCCTGAGGAGACGTCCAAGAAGTCAGCGGCTGTCTGGTGCGCAGCGGGGAGACGAACAGTAAGAGCCACGTCATTGCGCCAGCCTGCACGAGCGATCTGACGCGCAAGGACAAGTCGCGAGCCCAGCGCTTCAGAATCATGGCGGAAGAAACGATCTCGACCATCGCGCGAAACCTCATTTACGGCCAATTTGAATAACTCCACTTGCCTAGGGGGAGAGCGGCTCACGAAATCGAGCTGTCCCGTAACCGTGCCCAGCAGCTGCCGAGAAGGCCTCGTATTCGAAGATGCGCCTGGGGATCTTCTGAAGCTCCTTGGGTTTCTCAGAGCTGGGAGAATGAACAGGCGCGAGCGGCATGGTCGCTGATCTCCCGCCCTGCGAGCGTCTCAGGAAGCCCCGCAACGCGAAGGGGCGAGAGAGCCTGAGAAAGGGGGCCCACCCGGGGAGACTGATCAAGAGACGGTCGACCGCAACCACCGAGTGCGAGTACGCGTCGTAGTGAGTAGGTTCGTCGGAAGATATGTCAGTAAGGTGCCCGAGCGTCCTCAGCCAGCGCGCGGCCTAAGCGACGTAAGAGAAGAGGCGGCGAGTGAGAGGCATTGAAGTCGCCACGCGCGACCGCCGTGACTATGATGGGGTCAATGCGCGCGGCTTGGATGTCGACCGCCAGGGACTTGTCAATCATGGGCAGCCGCTCCCCTCGCAAGTCGCAGCTGCGTGCTTTGCAGCGAAAGAATTGATGTCCATCGCGCTGGAGATGAAACCGAAGAGCCCGTCCTGGAACAATTCCGGCGGAAACAACATGCGCAATGCACAGCGCGGGGAGAAGAGTAGCCACTCCTCCTTTCACTAACGCGCCCTCGCAGTGGGATGAGAAGAACTCTAGGCCGCGAAAGGCTTCCCCAATAAACTCTCGCAGCTGCACGGCATCTTGATGAGCCTCATGAAAGCAAAAAAAAACATTCAAAACATCGAGACGACGGAGGTGCCCCAGCTTGACCTTCGAGTGTGCACCATGCTACTGAAGAAGAGCACGCGTGTTCCAGGAGGTAAACGGTGTCGACGCATCTGGCGAGGAGGACCCATTGATCAGTCTGACGAGCGGGCTAAAGGTTCCACTCCGCTGTACCAGGGGGAGCAACGATTGTGGCAGCCGCCGAGGAGAGCTCCTGCTTGGGGATGCCGGGCTTGTTGATGATGTTGTCGGCCCGTTGGAGCGAGGACGGGGCGCTGCCTGGATTCGGGCTGATCCTGAGGACGGGGCGCAGCCTGCTATGACGAAGCCACGATCCTTGTCGACGTACCATCGCTTGGAAGGGTCAATGTTCTTGAAAGCGCCCCGCACCTTCCTGGCCTGCATCTCCATGCGAATATGACGAGGGTTCTTGTCGGAACCAATGAGGAGAGATGTGACCTGTCCATCGGCGGCCTTTGTCTCGATTTTTTCCAGCGCCGAGAACTTTCGCCGCGCGCCTTGCTGCTGGGCCAGCAGCACCTCAGAACTCGATCGTGCAAGTGCGATGTACAAGCTCGGGCGAGGCGATTTTGTAGAGATCTGGCGTGGCACCAATCTCCGTGATCCAATCAGTGAGCACCTGCTCGACGTTGCCGATGGGGGCGACTTTCGCGGAGATGGCCTTGATGCTGCACGGGTCTGTGTCGCGCTCGAAGCCTGCGGTGTTGACCAGGGGCTCTTTGGGCACGGTACTGGCGACCGCCAAGAGTTCGTTGAATTTCTGGACCTCGGTTTTGAGGAAGGCGATGGCTGAGTCGTGGTCGTCCAGTCGGGATTCAGCAGCACGCAACTTGATGTGGCAACCGTCAATCTGTTTCTGGAGGCGAAGACTAATACCATCAATCCGCTTAGCCGCCGCAGCGTCGACCATCTTCGGCAGGTCCGCGACACCGCCAGCCAGCCGGGCCGCGCTCTAGGCATGCTCGGCGAGCTCGGCGGCAGAGGCGCAGACTGCTTCGTCCACGCACGACTGTATTGTCTCCAGCATCGTGTCTTTGTATTATCGCAGAAGCCGCGCGGTCTCCTCTTTGACCAGGAGACGGGTGTAGTCGGCGCCCACGTCTTCCCAGCCATCTTCCATATCACGATCGGCAGCGGCAGGAGTATCATCAGCAGGACGGGGAGGACGGGGAACACCTTCCGCAGGGGGCTCTGCATGAGCAGGTTCTTCGTCACGTTTAGCAGGAGGGGGAGCATCATCTGCACCAGATGCAGGAGTCGCACTCCCCAGAGTGGCGACATCCGCAGCACGGCGAGTCCGTTTCTTTTTCGGCTGCTTGGAGACCAGTGCCAAGGCGGGCATGCGGCAACCGCGCGTGCCTGCAGACTGGGCTTGAGCAGCTCTTGGCCCCAGAAGCGCGCAGCTCGACTGGGTTTGCCTGAAGCGGGAGCTGGCCTCGGACTAGAGGTATCCACTGTCCGCCCAAGGGACACAGGCATCTTGAGCCAAAATGACAACGGAGAGGAGGAGGAGGAGGAGGAGGAGGAGGAGGAAGAGGAGAAGGAGGAGGAGGAGGAGGAGGAGGAGGAGGAGGAGGAGATAGAGGAGGAGGAGGAGGAGGAGGAGGAGAAGGAGGAGGAGGAAGAGGAGGAGGGAGGAAGAGATAGAGGAGGAGAGAGGAGAGGAGGAGGGAGGAGGAGGAGGGAGGAGGAGGAGGAGGAGGAGGAGGAGGAGAAGAAGGCGGAGGAGGAGGAGGAGGAGGAGGAGGAGGAGAGGAAGAGGAGGAGGAGGAGAGAGGAGGAGGAGGAGGGAGGAGGGAGAGAGGAGGGAGGGAGCAGCAAGGGGAGCAAGGAGGTGGAGACCCCCCCCCCAGCTCGAAAAACTCGGCCCCCGGTGGGCCGGGGGGGGTCCCCGCGCCTCCCGCCCGCGGCGCGCCCAGCGAGCGCGGCCGAAGCCGCTGCGAGAGACAGGTGGCGGATGAGCAAGGGGATGATAAGGAGGGAAGGGAGGAGGATGAGGAAGGAAGAGCAGGAGAAGGAGGAGGAGGAGGAGCAGGAAAGGGAGGAAGATGAGGAAGGAGGAGCAGGAGACGGAGAAGGAGGAGGAGGAGGAGGAGGAGGACGAGAAACTGGAGCTGCGGGGGTTGGAGGCTTGACGAGAGAAAGTGTTGCGTCAACAAGATGCAGATAGCGGGCTATTCAACTCATCAGTACTGTATACTACGCGGCGACAGCGATGAGGAACGATTCGGATCCAAGGAAGTGGCCCGCGTTGGGGCGAGAGCGCCATTTTGAACGACGAAAGCAGCGAACCGATCCTACAATCAAGCCAACGCTGCAACGGGAATACGATCTCAAAGGGCCGAACTCAAACGGGTGGTATAACAAAAGCATTGCAGTCTGTATGTGAACTCAGACGTGCGCGTCAAACATGTGTGTGTGTGTGTGAAATCTGACGTGCGCATCAAACAGCAAGCGGTGTGGGTCGAGCGTCTTCCAGAAAGGGTCACGGGCGAGAGGAGAGTAGCATTTATAGTGTAGTTGAGGATGGAGGGGGACGTGGGGGGGTCAGGGGGGAGGGGGGAGGAGAGAGGATGATAAGGACGGGGAGGGAGGGAGGAGGATGAGGGGGTAGTGAGCAAGGACGAGGAGGAGGAGGAGGAGGAGGAGGGAGGAGGCAGACAGGAGGAGGAGGAGGAGGAGGAGGAGGAGGACGAGGACGAGGAGGAGGAGGAGGACGAGGAGGGGGAGGAAGAGAAGGAGGAGGAGGGGGAGGGAAGAGGGAGAGAGGAGGGAGCAGCAAGGAGGAGCAAGGAGGAGCAAGGAGGAGGAGGAGACCCCCCCCCCCTGCGGCGCCCGGGCAGGCGCTGTTGTTGCAGCGCCCCGTCTCGCTGAGGGCACCCGTGCAGCGGGCCCCGCTGCCCGAGGCCTCGCGCGCGGGACGCGGCCCGAGGTGGCCGAGGCGCGGGAGGCAGCGATGGGGGGGGAGGGCCGCGAGGGAGCGGGGGGAGGGGGCAGGAGGGAAGGCAGCGAGGGGAGGGAGGGCAGCGAGGGGAGGGGGGGCGGCGAGGGGAGGGGGGGCAGCGAGGGCAGGAAGGGAGGGCAGCGAGGGGGGGGGGAGGGAGGCCACGGGGAAGGGAGGCAACGGGGGAGGGAGGGGGGCAGCGAGGGAGGGCGATGATTGGGACGATGGCGGGTGGGCGAAGGGTCGTTTCCTGAAATCCTCTCTCTGACGTCTACGGTCCGTCGGGGGAGTCCGCTCGCTCGCCGAGGCGCGGGTCAAGGGGGGGGGTCTCCCCCCCGTCCCCCTGCCCCCCCCTCCCACCTTTGGGACCCCCAGAAATCGGCGCGACACGGCGGGCGAATTTCGGGAAACTGCACCGCGCTGCTCGAACTTCGGCTGCCGAGCCGTGGAGGATCCTCCCGACACGGGCCTCGAGCAGGCAGCACTGGGAAAACCGCCTCCGTGCGCACCCATCTTAGGAGGCTGAGCGAGGGGAGCGGGGCGGGAGGGCCGATGGTCGAGGGCAGGATGCCACGGGGCAGGGATCCTCCTCCTCCTCCTCCTCCTCCTCCTCCTCCTCCTCCTCCTCCTCCTCCTCCTCCTCCTCCTCCTCCTCCCCCTCCTCCCCCTCGAGACCCGTGCCCCCACGCCCGTCCACGCGCCCACCTGCCCGTCCGTCAGGCCCCGACCGCAAGCCGAATCGTCGCCCCTCCGCCGGGCGAGCTCCCCGGTGCGGATCGTGCTCTGTCGGTCGGCAACGGGGCAGGCAGGGGAGGGAGGGTTGATGGTGCAGCGCTGGATTCGGCGACGAGCCTTTCTGGGTCTCGGTGGGTGGGGCCCCGGCGGGGTGGCGCATGGCGAACCACCCCGGGCACGCGCTCAGCCAGGGGTCTCTGGAGCAGAAGGGAGGACGAGGCACGAGGGGCGGAGGGATGCAGCGAGGGAGGGAGGGAGGGCGCAGCAGGGGTGGCAACTGTGCGCGCCAGGGTGCATCGCCTGCACCCGCTCAAACCAGCTGGCTGCCGCAGAGGATTCGCTGGCATGCGCGGCAGTGTTCGCATGTTCCGCCTCTGGTGTGAACGCGGGCGTCCCCTTGCACGTGGGAACTGGGGGGGGGTGGGAGGGGGCGGTGTCAGGACCAGTGGCGGCAGCTTCGCAGGATGGGGAAGGGGAGGTCTTTGATGAGGAGGTGGCAGCTTGTGGAACCCAGTATTCGTTCCCTCCCAGCACGGGATCGGAGGGGACATCGCGCTGATCACACCACGGCGGGGGTGTGCTGCGGGCGCCGCAGCATGCGCACGAGCACCGCGCTACGCCTGCGAGCGCCACAATTGCCTGCGATGCGATCGCCTGGACGTGCCCGAGATCGCCGAACTACGTGCCGCAATGTTTGCGAGCCACGCAAAGCCTGCGAGCACAGGCAATGCTGTGGGCACGACAACGGCCCGCAAGCGAAGCCACGTGCCCGTGAGCACCACAACGCGCTTGCGTTAGAGAATGCTGAACAATAGGTCCTGCCAGGGCTGAGTCGCCACAGTGTATGGGAATGCTAGCAATGGCAACGCACGTCGGACCTTGCGCCTGTGCACGCCGAACAGCGTGCGTACACCACAATGCGTGTGCACCAAGCTGCACGTGTGTGCACCACAACGCTGGCGCAATTACAGCACAGCGCATGTGCTCATAGCAATGCTTGCGTACGCCACGACGCTGGTGTACACAAACATGAACACCATGAAGACTTTGTGCGCACAGCAGTGCACGCATCAGCTTCTGCTTGCACCACGTCGCCTGTGCACAGCACGAAGCTGATGCAACTGCAGCAGCCGAGAGCACCCCAGGGTTTCGCGCCTGCGTGCACCACAATTCCTGTGCACACCACAAAAACTGTATACGTACACCCCCAGGTCCCCGACGGGGCCCAAACTCAGAAAAAAATCGTAGCGGGCCCGAACCTGTCAAATCCAATATGCAAGTCATGTTAGCAAGCGTGGACTTCAAACCGTGTGCTGCTATCAATACATGTTGTGCAAAAGATGTGGTGCAACCGATGTTGTGCAATCTTTGTGGTACCGCCTATGTTGTGCAACCTACGTGGAGCAGTCGACGTGGTGCAACGGTTTTTGCTCGCAATGAATTGTCAACTCCACTGCTCGCGCAATCGTCCCACCCACTCACGCGCAACGTGGACTTGGTTTGCAAAACCCACGTGGCGGCGACTGCGATGACTACTTAGCGCTAGCTGGCGTATCGGTGCGGCCGCGCTAGCGCGCGCAAATTCGCGCAGAGCGGCCAGCTAGTCTGGCGCGACCGGCGCAGCCGCGGTGGCGCTGATCGCTGGGGTCTTCCCAGCGCGTCTCGCAGGCCGCGCTGACGCAATGGCGCTTCAGTGCCAGTCGGTGACACGGGCGGGCGCGGTATCATGGCGAATTCGACGCTGGTGACAATGGTGACGATGACGACGGCAAGGCCAATGACGGCGCCGATGCAAATCACGACGATGACAATGATGGTGTCCACGTCTCGGTGATCAAGGCTTTGAACAGATTTGGATATGCGCGCGCGGCCGACAAGCGCGCAAAGGCGATCGAATGGCTTCGGCATGCGCGCGAGAGCCCCAATCACATGCTATGAACATCTTGGGAACCCAATGGTTTCCGTAGGAATTCGCAAGTGCGCGCGCGCAAGCTTTTTCCCAACCATCCTGTAGTGTTGGGTCCTCAGTTTGACGGTACAGCGCCCCAGGACCTCCTCTCCTCCTTCCCCTCCTCCCTACCTTGCATCTGTCCTCCGCACGTCAGAAGTTTTGGCACACCCCTCACACGTTTCGTGACCAATGGGGAGCTCGACCGAGGGCTTCCGTGGTGAGCTCGCATGCGTCCGCCGCCCATTTCGGCACACCCCTCACACGTTGCGTGACCCCATGAGGAGCTCCACCGAGTGCATCCGTGGTGAGTTCGCATGCGTCCGCCCGACCGATTTCGGCATACCCATCACACGTGTAGTGGTGAGATCGCATGCGTCCGCCCGACCCGTTTCGGCATACGCCTCACACAATTCGTGGCCGCATATGGGGGCTCCACCGAGTGCTTCTGTGGTGAGTTCGCATGCGTCGGCCCGACCTTTTACCGCACACCCCTCACACGCTTCGTGGCCCTAACGGGAGCTCCACAAAGCCTGTGCACACCACAAAGCCTGTGTACACCTAAAAATCCCGACGGACCCCGACAAGGCCCACAAACCGTGGCGGGCCCGCCTTTCTGATTCTGGATTTTGCGGCCCGGGTCACGAGTCCCCCCCCATTTTCGGCCAGCAATGCTTTCGTACAGCACCGCACCCGAATACAACACAGTACTTGCGCCACCAGAACAGCCGTGTGCACCACATCCCCTGGCGCTTGCGTGCACCATATGCCCGTGTGCACGCCTTTGTACAGCACGAAGAAGCCCGTGTACACCTCCAGGTCCCGACGGGGCCTCAAATCGTGACGGGCCCGAACCTGTTACATATACAATACGTACGTCCTTTCTGATCATTAATTTGATTCTGGGCCAGGGCACGGGTCCCTCCCGAATTTTTGGCCCGCAGTGCCTGCGTGCAAAACAGCGCCTGTGCACAACACGACGCTTGTGCAATCCTAACAACCGTGTGCACCACAAGCGCGTGAGCGAAGCATTGCCCCGCGAATGCCACAGCATGCCTGTGGGCACCACAACATGCCTGTGGGCTTCACTGTAGCCTCCGAATGCTACAAGACACCCGTGGTCGCCACGGAACGACCGCCGTGACGTCATCTGAAGGGATGGGGGGCCGATCACGTCTGTTGTCGGCCAGATGGTGAAACACACCGGTTCATGAACAAGGCGGCAAAGCAGAAGATGATGATGATGATGATGATGATGATGATGCTGATGATGATGACGACGACGACGATGATGATGATGATGCTGATGCTGATGATGATGATGATGATGATGATGATGATGATGATGATGATGCGGATGATGCGGATGATACTGATGCTGATGCTGATGCTGATGCTGATGCTGATGTTAAGCATGATTACGATTTTGATGTTGACAATGGTGATGACGATGGTGATGATGATGATGATGATGATGATGATGATGATGTTGATGATGATGGTGATACTGATTATGATGAGGACAGTTCTGAGGGGACTGGTTGTTCAGGCTCCCCTCAGATCTGAGTCCCACCATGTTCCTTTCGATGCAGAGCTGAATCACTCAATCACCCAATGCGAAACTGAAAACACTCACAGACATAACATTTGCTCGGGGCCATTAATTGATCATCGACACGACTGCCTCCAACACGCGCGCAACAGCTGCTTCACTGCAGTAAGCAAGAGAGGGATGAGGAGGGCGAAGATGAGCATTTCGGCTCCAACCCACCCCCGCACCGATGAGTCAGATAACCAGCCCCGAACCCTTGCGCGATGATGAGCGGTTTGCTAATGACTGTCGGCTCGGCGAAAGAAAATTGATACGTGCGCTCGCTCGAGACAGCAACGTTTCTCAAGCCATTCCACCTTCTGGTGGCAAAATTGTGAGGCCCCTCAAGCCCGCATCGTAGGCCTGTTGCGAAGAGAGCTGCGAGATCGATCAGCTCACAAGCTGAGGCCACAAGGCAGGTCCGCCTCTCTTCAGCAGGCGCCATCCTGTTTCGGGCCTCCCCCTGCAGGCACGCAGGAGGAGGAGGAGGAGGAGGAGGAGGAGGAGGAGGAGGAGGAGGAGGAGGGGGGGGGGAAAAGGGGGAGGAGGAGGAGGAGGAGGAGGAGGAGGAGGAGGAGGAGGAGGAGGAGGAGGAGGAGGAGGAGGAGGAGGAGGAGGAGGAGGAGGAGGAGGAGGGGGAGGAGGAGGGGGAGGAGGAGGAGGAGGAGGAGGGGAACGAGGAGGATGGGGGGAACGAGGAGGAGGGGGGGAACGAGGAGGAGGAGGAGGAGGAGGAGGAGGAGGAGGAGGAGGAGGAGGAGGAGGAGAAGGCCAACTGATGTACTGGACTTTTTCTTGCATCAAGGCCCGAACACGCCGCCCTGAGCCTTCGACACTGTGCGGCGTCCCCGGGGCTTCTCCTCCGCCGGCGGCTTCTCCTCGGGCTCTTGCTGCGCCTTCGTCTTCCGCTCCTCCGCCTCCAGCCTCAGCGCCTCCAGCTGCCGGAACGCCCTGAGCGGGTCGCAGCCGAATCCGAAGCCCTGCCCTCCTCGCGCGTTCTCCATGATGACGTCCCCAGTTTTGCTAATGACTGACAGCTTCGGCAGCTCCATGACGCTGAGCATGCTCATCAGCTGGAGGACGGCGTCTCGGTCACAGAACCTGACGGTGAGCCATGGCATGCTCCTGGCATAAGTGCGCCAGGCGTCCTCCTCTTTGTCGCACGGCACCAACACTACCTCCCATGACTGCTGTCCGTGGCGATCGCGGATCTGCGAGTACCCATCGGCGAGCAAACCGGTCAGCGTCCTGCACGCCGGCGAAAACGACGCGGAGAAGTACAGGGCGACCAGGGAGGCCTCCGGCGCCAGCCGCTCGGGCTCCAGGCCGAACGCCGGCTCGTCGCCGGCCTCGCTGCAGCACTGCAGCGTCTGCAGCAGCGGCAGCGCCTGCGGCAGCGCCTGCGGGCCCCGCGGGACGGGCTCCGCCGGCGCCTTGCTGGGCTGCCTGCTGGGCTGCCTGCTGGGCTGCCTGCTGGGCGGAGGCTGCGGCGAGCGCGAGCCCGAGCCCCGCTGCGCGTCCCTCCCCGGCGAAGCAGTCGCCCGGGCCTCCTCGCCGGGCCGCCGCTCGGCCCTGCCGCTCGCGTCCTCCAGGCGCTCGCGCTGCTCCTGCGCCAGCGCCCTGGCACGGGACAGCCTGCTGGCGTCCTGCGGCAACTCCATGGCGGGGTGCTCAACCTCCTCCTCCTCCTCCTCGCGGTGGCTGGCCTAGCGGGCATGGCGCCGGGCAGGCGCCGTCCCGGGCATCCTGCCTCTCCGGTGGGGCCTGGGCCGGCGTGGCTCCAGAGTGCGCTGCCCTGCTCTCGGGAGCTGAAGCTCTCCGGCCGCCAGCCACGTCTCGAAGACCTCTGCCTCGGTCGCCTGTGACAGGCACATTGGCACTTACATGTTGTGCTGACTCCCGCTGCTTCGAGCCGCGCCCGGCCGAGGCGACGAGGAGAGCCCCCGAAGGCAAACCAAACAGGACAGGAACGAGGAGGACCGTCTTGCGCTCCGCGCACCGCTCGGGATGCTTCGAGCGACGCGGCCCCGAGACGACGAGAGGAGCCGAAGAGGGCGGACGGCGGCCCGAGGGGCGACCAAACGGCCGAGCGAGGGACCGAACGACCGACGCGCCCGGACCAGGAAGGAGGACGAAGACCGCGAGCGACGCTCCCCCCTCAGGGAATGCCGCCCACTGGCGCCCAGGCAGCCCTCGGCGCTGGCAGCGCGCGCAGCGCGCGCCTGCGGACAAGGGATCGCTGCGGAGCGCTGCGCGGCGGACCCGGGGACCGACCAAACGGCCGAGCGAGGGACCAAAGGACCGACGCGAGCGGGCGAGGGAGGAGGAGGAGGACGACTGGGAGCAGGCACCAGCGGCACGAGTCCTTACCATAGAAGGCGCTTCGATACAGTGGGATTCCACGGCCTCGGCAAGTTCTGCCCGAGCCACGGTCAGGAGTGCCTCCCGGAAATCGCGTGGACTCCCGGTGTCTCTGACGGCCTTTCTTTGACCCTGGGGGCATCCGCTGCCCTGTATGGACTCGTCCTCTGCTGCCCTCCTGGGAGGGCGCTGCGGGGTGTTCCAAGGCTCACACGGACGTCCCATCCCCGTTCCATCTCCCGCCTGTCCTCCGTTGTCCCCGCCCGTGCCGTCACAGCTACTCGCTCTCTCTCGCCCTTGGGTGCCCCCCCTCGCTTTAAGTCGTGGTCGATTCTCCCCCCCCCCCCAGCTTCCGCACCGGGGCGGGGGGCGGGGCCGAAGCGTCAGGTATCACCAGGACCGCCACCCACTTCCCAGACACCGACGATGCGATCTGTTCCACCTGCGGGCGCAGATCTCCAATTGAAGGGACCCTGGGACACACAAATAAATACACACAAATAACAGGATTCCACATTTTCCCATACTTTCTTGGTCTTCCTCTTTCCCCCCAATTCCCATATGTTCCCACATTCCCTGGGGAATCGACGATCCATCGTGCCTGTGTTTTTTTGCTCCCTCCCGACCCAATCCCCGTCGAGGGGGGCAGCGCCTCGCCCCAGATGCGTTCCTGGTGGCCTTTAAGGGCCCGCAGGCGGCCCCCCGCGGAGGCCCACCTCCCAAACGCCGACGCCGCGGTCTGCTCCCCCCTGCGGGCCCGGGGAGCGCCGGGACCCCCCCGAGGGGGGCAGCGTCCTGCCCCGGATGCGCTGCTGGGTGGCCACACGGGCCCGCAGGCAGCAGCGCCGGGGAGGCTCGGATGCATCGTCGGAGACCCGAGGCTCGTCAGGCCCGGGTGGCTGCGCGCAGAGGGGGGCAGCGGGGGGGGGGGAGGAAGGCGGCAGCTACTGGGAGGTTCTCGTCGGGAAGATCAAGGAAAAGTAAGCCCCATTTGGGAGCTGCTACGCCGGAGTGGGCCTCGGACTAAGCAGGATTAAGCTGGATTCAGCGGGACTAAGCGGGATTAAGCCGGATTCAGCGGGATCAAGCTGGATCAAGCCAGATTTCGGGCCAGGACGAAATCAGAATTGGACCTCCCAGGAGTTGCATCCGAAAGGGGGGAATGGCTTCTGAGAAGGGGGCTGCTTCTAAGAAGCCTTGCCCCCTCCTCCTGCCCCCCTCTGCGCGTGGCCGATCTCTGTGACAAAACGACCTGGGACCAGATCCAGCGGCCGCAGGCCCGCACCCAAAAAGGGTACTCGAGGCGCCCTCTCGAGGACCCAGACGGGGCAACTCGCGAATCGCCTCGGCAGGGTCGGGCCGGAAGAGCACGGGGGCCATGGAAAGGAAGCGGGCCACGTGGAGGAAACTGGCGACCTGACCACCCCAACCCGAGCCGAAGACCCGCCTTTCGGGTTTGGGGGGGGGGGGCGGGCTTCACGGGTGTTTCCCCGTGTTCCCCTCCCCCCTCCCCCCTGGAACTGAAGGGCAAATCGGGGCCTGCGGGCTGGGTCGGGGAAGCTCGGTGGGCGGTGGGGAGCAGGCCTGGGACCCTGGCGGGGGGCGGGACCAGCACCGGCTTCTCATCCCGATCGCTTCATGACGGCCCGGCGGAACATAGCGGAGAGCCTCCAGAAGACCCGTGAATCTTCCAGGGCAGGGCACCAGGAAGGCGAGGATCCAGAAACATCGGCACAAGACCCGTTTCTGGATAGGGTCACGGGCACGTCGGGGATCAGATTAAGAATGATGAAAATGGTTTTCTCATGGTTCTAGGCCGCTCGCGGGCCGTGCGGTGCTGAAGTTGAAAATGGTTCATGGTGGTTTTGAAAATGGCCGCGCGCGGGTTTCAAATAGTTTCGGCGTCAAACTAGCAGCTTGGCGCGCCCGCCATTGGAAGGTATGATTACGCGCAACGCGGCCTTCGCTCAGGGGTGCCAGGGCAAATGGCGCTTGATCCTCCTTCCCACTCTGCCCTGCAGTAGGCGGTACGAGCCAAGGGCGTTTGAGCCTTCTCCGTGCCCCTTTCACATGCAGCCCGAGCTCGGCCTTTCAGCGCGCGGGTGTCTTTTGTTGGGCTAGTTGGAACTAGAGGTTGCGTCTCGAACCGAAAGAGCCAACTTTGTCCCACCAATTACCGTTGTTACTGCACGCTGCTGGGGCCGCCGCCCACGAAGGCATCCCCAGGTTCGCGCCGAGTCCGTCACATGTGAAACGTGCTGCGTTTGCAGGCTGGCCCGCGCCGAGTCCGCGGCACGTGAAGGGTTTGACAACTCGGCGCCGCGCCGAGCAAGCTATCGCGCCCCCCCCCTACCCTCCTCATCGGCAGAAGCAGGGCCGCGTGCAAAAGGGCACTTGTTTAAGTTGTTGTAGTTTTTCAAGTTTGTGCCTAGCAGCTCCGCGAAAGTACTGCAGCACGCGCCTGTGCAGTCCATCGTTGTGTGTTGGGTAATTCGTTATTTTCCCTCCCCGCTCTGCGGTCGCCGCCCTGGGCGGCCGAATGACGAGAAACTTTGCTCAAACTTGCGCCGCAGGATGTGGAGTGAGAAGATATGGTACGATGCGGGATCGATTACACATGTCTGCGGTAATTGCATATGCAACAAGGGGACGATTTGGGGAGACTCGTGGCCCGTCAAAAGAGGAGGACCATGAGCAAGAGCAACTGCAACAGGCGTGCGTCTAGGCGCGCGTGGCCCTGGCACTGCGTCACAGAAAAACCGTGGTGACTATAATGATTCTGGACGGCCGGGGGGGGCAGCTGCTTTGGCATTGGCGGTGCGCGCCGCAGGCATCTGGACATCTGGACAAACCGCGGTTGCAGCTGCAGGAAGTTCTTCCTGCCCTCGCACTTCCGCTCGTTCGCCAGCGAGACCTCCGTGCTTGTTTTGCGTGCTCGGTCGCGCCCGTGTTTCATGTTGCCCACAGCCACCTGGCACTCCATCTGAGAAATGGCCCCGGCCATGTGTCTCTGGAAAACTGTGTATGGGTACTTGTTGGTGAACAGCCCTGGGATCGAGGCGTGCACCAACTCCAAACCTCGCTTTTCGCACTCCGCGATCGCCTCTTCCTGCACCATCAAGCGGCGGGCCAACCGCTTCTCGTCGGGCACCACGATCCGCTTGATGCCGCGCTTCTCGCACCTGTCCAGAAAGGCGGCCACGCCCGGCCTGGACAGGAACGGCGTTGAACCTGGGGAAGCAAAAAACATGATGGACCCACGAACCCGGAAAGGGATATAGACACGTGGAGCATGGGCACGTTTTCACGATACCCAACGGGGCAACACCTCACGAAACACCCCACGAGACACCCCGCGAAACATCCCACGATACACCTCACGAAACATTCCACGAGACACCTCACGAAACATTCCACGAGACACCCCGTGAAACATTCCACGAGACACCCCACGAACAGGCAACCACTCAACCAGACACCCCATGAAACATTCCACGGGGGTGCGACTGGGTGTGGTCGTGCTGGGGTGTGGTCGTGCTGGGGTGTGGTCGTGCTGGGGTGTGGTCGTGCTGGGGTGTGGTCGTGCTGGGGGGTGGTGGTGCTGGGGGGTGGTCGTGCTGGGTGGCTGGGTGTGTGGTCGTGCTGGGGTGGGGTCGTGCTGGGTGGTGTGTGTGGGGTGTGGGTGCTAGGGGGGGTCGTGCTGGGGTGGGTCGTGCTAGGGTGGGGTCGTGCTGGGGTGTGGTCGTGCTGGGGTGCGGTCGTGCTGGGGCGTGGTCGTGCTGGGGTGGAGTCGTGCTGGGGTGTGGTGGTGCTGGGGTGTGGTCGTGCTGGGGTGGTCGCACCCTGTGATTTATCGATCGGGTCGTGCTGGGGTGTGTGATCGTGCTGGGGTGTGGTCGTGCTGGGGTGTGGTCGTGTTGGGGTGTGGTGGTGCTGGGGTGTGGTCGTGCTGGGGCGTGGTCGTGCTGGGGCGTGGTCGTGCTGGGGTGTGGTCGTGCTGGGGTGTGGTCGTGCTGAGGTGGCCCGCACCCTGTGATTTATCGATCGGGATTTCAAAAACAAGCGTTTCGCTCGAGACATCCTCAAAAATAATTTCGCCGGCCGGCCTCCTTCGACCTCGATATTTATCAGGGAAAAATTTCGCCGGCCTCCTTCAAGTTGGGCACGGGGGACTATGTTTACATACTAAAAGAGAACCCTGGGCCTTTGCCCTTTCCGGGAAAAATACAACAACTTAAACAAGTGCCCTGTTGCACGCGCCCCTGCTTCTGCCGATAAGGAGGGTAGGGGGGGCACGATAGCTTGCTCGGCGCGGCGCCGAGTTGTCAAACCCTTCACATGCCACGGACTCGGCGCGGGCCAGCCTGCAAACGCAGCACGTTTCACATGTGACGGACTCGGCGCGAACCTGGGGATGCCTTCGTGGGCGGCGGCCCCAGCAGCGTGCAGTAGCAACGGTAATTGGTGGGACAAAACATGTTGGCTCTTTCGGTTCGAGACGCAACCTCTAGTTCCAACTAGCCCAACAAAAGACACCCGCGCGCTTAAAGGCCGAGCTCGGGCTGCATGTGAAGAGGCACGGAGAAGGCTCAAACGCCCTTGGCTCGCACCGCCTACTGCAGGGCAGAGTGGGAAGGAGGATCAAGCGCCACTTGCCCTGGCACCCCTGAGCGAAGGCCGCGTTGCGCGTAATCATACCTTCCAATGGCGGGCGCGCCAAGCTGCTAGTTTGACACCGAAGCTATTTTAAACGCGCGCGCGGCCATTTTCAAAACCACCATGAAGCATTTTCGACTTCAGCACCGCGCGGCCCGCAAGCGGCCTAGAACCATGAGAAAACCATTTTCATCATTCTTAATCTGATCCCCGACATGCCCGTGACCCTATCCACCCGTTTCATCCAGGGGAGGGCCCCGGGCGGGCGAAAAAGATGAACGGAAACTTCCACGAGACCAGTTTCCCCCAGGGAGGGCCCCAGGACGGGCGAAAACAACGAAACGCCGCGATATGAGCTGTCTCTCTTAGGAACCCTGACTAGGACGAGAATGATGTCATGATAGGGTTGACTCATGATACCCCCCGCGAGTTCCGGAATAAATGCATCGCACCCTGCAGTT